GTATTAATGGATTGACATATCTAGATGGTCCCTACAGACACTGGACAAAGGTAAGTCAGAAACTGAATAACACCGCCTCCCCCAGAGGGGCGGGGGGGGGGGGGGCGCACACACACGAGACTATGACAGTGCCTCAGGCTCAGCTGACAATTTAAAGAATGTCTATATACCTTCCCAGGAGGCCATCTACACCACTGCAAATATCCCTCTTTCTTCTAACATGGATCTTCCTCTCTCCCTATCTCTTACTTTAGGAAATGGTAAATATCCTATCAAATAAAACAGTAATATGAAAATTCACCATTACTCCAATGTGGGATCCCAATGTGGGACCCGCATGATTCAGGGCCCACTCAGGGTCCGGTTTCTGGAGAAGGCCGCACACTAAAATGAAAAGACTGGAAAATAGTTAATTTGGAAAATGGGGGCCAGGCAGGAAGTCCACCACTAGTGGGAAGACTAACCCCTGCTCTGGCCTTTTACCATTCCTTTTATTGAGATTCTGAGACAAAGACATCTCTTAGGCGGGAAATTCCAACAACAGAAAATCAACAAGAATTTACATTTACATATGATTAACAAATTAAAGTTGCCTCAACCACCACTATCTCAACTAAATAATGAGTTAATAGCTCTGACCATTCAGAGCCATCAAGGTTGGCCAGCTCTTTTTACATTTTACTACCAGGGACAATGTAAGGTTTTGGTTCCCAGCACTCCAACACACAAGTTGGCTGCCCTCATGGGGTCAAACATGCCTGCCCCCATGTGGACACAACATGCCTGCCACAAGATGGCTAGCAGAGGAGAGAAGTTGTGGCAAGTTAGGGGTGACCAGGCCAGCAAAAGAGGGCAGTTAGGGGTGAACAGGACAGCAGAGGAGGGCAGTTGGGAGAGACCAAGACAACAAGGGAGGGCAGTTCGGTGGACCCAGGCCTGCAAGGCAGGGCACTTGGGTGGGGACCAGACCTGCAGGGAGAGTACTTGGGGGGGAACAGGCCTGCAGGGAAGGACACTTATGGGCAATTAGGCCAGAAAGAAGGGCAGTTAGATGTGTCTAGGACAGCACAGGAGGGCAGTCGTGGGGGACCAGTCCTACAGGGATTGGCAGTTCGGATTGGACCTAAACAGGCGGTCAGATGTCCCACATTGCAAAGGGTACAGACTGAGCTAAGGGACACCCTCCCTGTGCACAAATTTTGATGTCTAGTATATATTTATTTTTTTAAAAAATATGTTTCCACACAAAAGGACGGTGAATATTTTTTTCCTGGTATTAACCCGTTCCCATGATAACCCTGCATCTGGGCGTACTATCAATAAAGGCAGCCCACACGGTACTGGCGGCATCAGGAAAGGACACTTGTCCATGAATGGCTGCCTTGTCAACGGCGGCCTCCCTGGGACACACAACTTCAACAATGGCAGCCTCTACGGTATAGACTCACAGAGGGAACGCACATCTTCACAATGGAAGGGCACCACCCAAGCCACCCTTGGCATAGCTGGCCCGGGAAAGGGTGTCAAATAAACACCAATGACTTCAATCCACCCAGGGAAGAAATTATTCCCGCCATGGATACACTCCATAACTTTAAGGGATTTTCTTTCTTTTGGCTTTTTGTTCATTTCTTTGTTTCTATTTTGGTACAATTATTCCTAATATAAGCTTCAATTTCAGCAACACAGACACAAACACAAGGTGTTATTCTTGGAATAGCCACAATAACATGGTAACTAAGAACCAGGAGCCTGGGAATGGAAACGAATGACCTCCTGGTTCATAGGTCCAAGCTCAACCATTGAACAACACCAGCCAAAAGGCATGTGGTGGCTTTAATGGTCTCCTCTGCACTCAAAGCTACAAACAACAAAGACAAAAGAAATGTTTGCTTGAAAGTTGGAAGTGAACTTACCAGGCACTCGAGGCTCCGGGGGCTCCAGGAGGAACTCTGTGCTCGAACCCTCGCCCCCAGCCTGTGACCTTGCAGCCACGATCAAGGGGGCCCAGAACAGGGTCCTCCCAAGACACTAATTCCTCTGCCTCCTGAAGAGCCCCCTTCACAGGCCTCCTAACGCTGCCCCTCACCTGACAGGCCATCCCCACCCTCAGCTCTGCAACCTGCCACAGCCACCACTGCATTTCCCTTAACAACAGCAACAACAACAACAATTTGTTTTTTAAATTAATTTCAGGGCAGGAGAGAAATATAAAGAGAAACATCCAAGATGAGAATAACTAACCTGCTGCCTCCTGCACAACCACTCTGGAGATGGAACTTCAATATAAGAATAGGACCTGGAACCTCCTGGTTCCTAGGTCAAAGCTCAACCACTGAGCTACACTGCTTGGGCGCACCCACGTGTAATCATTGTGCATGAGAGAGAAAGACTCCTTGGCGGTGGGCTGTTAACTCTGTTAACTCAGGGTTAACACCACATTAACTTAGGGTTAACATTGCGTTTGCTCTGAGGGTGTCATGGGTTCGATCCACCCCTATGGAGGGGTCACCCCAGCTCCCCATTTCTTGCAGTTCTGAGGTCCATGGCGCCTTGCCTCCGTCCCCGGTTCTGGTTGCATTCCAGGGGGCATCTCTAGAGCTTGGAGGGTCTCTGATTCCAGGAACTTGTATCCACTCATTCAGCAAAGTGTTAAGAGTCTGTAACAGGTTCCAGGAGGAGGACCAGGAGAGGTGAAGATTCAATGGAAAGGGCACCTCTCACATGAAGAAGGTGTCAGCAGCCTCTGGCCGCCTGCCAAGGGCATTCCTGGGACAATGGGCGATATTGCAATCCTGTCAGAGGACTGAACGGTAGAATTTCCCCATGCTGATGGTGGTGCAGGAGAAGGCGCTGGTTTATGGAAAATTGCCCCAGGTATTTGGAAGGGAAAAAATTATAATATTTGCGGGGTCAAGGGGTATCACAGGGGTAATTTCAGATTGCTCGTGAAGAGAGGTCTCTGTGCTATACTTGTCACTTACTGTAACAAGTATAGCACAGAGACGTGTCTTCTGTGACAAGTATAGCACAGAGACATGTCTTCATGAGCAATCTGAAACTGGGATGGCTTAAAAAAAATTTTTTAAGCAAACAATGCAATTCCAGAGATGTCCACAAGGCGGCGACAGAAGAACACAAAAGTGGTGTTACCAGGTAAATCAATAATGGGGATTTCTTTTTCCCCCCATAGATGGAGTTATTATAATAGTAATGAACTAAAACTTCCCGCAAATGCTCTTCCTTTTGGCATTAAATTTCACATTTTTAAGCATTAAAATATCTATGATGCTAACGCCTTCAGAAAATATGACATGAAGTTTTGAAATTGTTTATTCAAAATAGCATATGTATCAAATCCAATATATATCCACATATGTGCACTTGCCATTTTGCTTACTGGGCTTTAAAAAGGTTTTTTTTTTTTTAAATATATTATGGATCTCAGAAGGGAAGTAAAAGAGAAACACCAATGATTAGAGAAAACCTTCCATTGGCTGCCTCCTGCACGCCCCACTTGGGGATGAAGCCCACAACCCAGGCATGTGCCTGACTGGGAATGGAACTGCTCTACCTATTGGTTCCAAATCGAAGCTCAACCACTGAGCCACACTGGTGAGGCGCAGCCAGGTGTAATCACTGTATCCAGGAAAGACTCCTTGGCTATGGGCTGTTAACTCTGTTGACTCAGGGTTAACACCGCATTAACTTAGGGTTCACATTGCATTTGCATGGGTTTGATCCACCCCTGCGGAGGGGGATCGCCCTAGCCCCCTATCTCTTGCAGTTCAGAGGTCTGGGGGGCCTTGGCTCTGTCCCAGTTCTGGTTGCATTGCGGGGGGTGGGGGTGGGGGGGGGGGACAGGGGCGGGCTCTGGAACCTGCAGGGTCCCTGATTCCCGATATTTGTATCCGCTGGTTCGGCAAAGTGTTAAAGCACTTTGTAACAAGTTCCAGGAAGAGGACTGGGAGAGGTGAAGACTCAATGCAAAGGGTGCCTCTCATGGGAAGCAGGTGTCAGCGGGGTCTCTGGCCGCCTGCCAAGGGCATTCCTGGGACAACAAGCAACATTGGAATGTGATCCAGAAATTCCTCTTCAGGGCATTTATCCAAAAGAAGTGAAACATCAAGCACATACTAGTATCTGCACTCTCCTGTTCATTGCAATATTCACAGTAACCAAGACATGGGAACAACTTAAGTGTCTATCTGTGGATAAATAGATGAAGACATGGAATATATATACAATGAAGTATATCCAGCCTCGATAAAGAACATCCTTCCATTTAGGATGTGGATGAACCTAGAAGACATTACAGTAAGTGAAATAAGCCAGACTCAGAATGACAAATACTGTATGATCCCACTTTTTTTTTTTTTAATACATTTTATTGATTTTTTTACAGAGAGAAAGGGCGAGAGATAGAAACATCGATCAGCTGCCTCCTGCACACCCCCTACTGGGGATGTGCCTGCAACCAAGGTACATGCCCTTGACCCGAATTGAACCTGGGATCCTTCAATCCGGAGGCCGATACTTATTCACTGAGCCAAACCAGTTTCAGCTGATCCCACTTTTGTATGGAATCAACAATAGTTGAAATAGAAGCAGAGTAGAATAGTGGTTACTAGGGGCTGGGGGAGGGGGAAATACAGTTAGTTTTAGTTATACAAGATGGGTAAGTACTGGGGATTTAGAGTACCACCATATGACTACAATTAACAATACTTTCTCACATGCTTGGAATTTGCTGAGCGCACACTGTATGTGGCAGCCTCCTGGGACCAACGAGCACCTTACAGAACCCCCATCGAGTCATTTCACCTGAAGAGTAAAGACAGAGCAAGAGGCCAAACAACATGGACAGTCCATTTATTCAGCAGCAGCTTTGAAAGTGAGGTCTGTGGACTCTGAAGGGATGAGTTTTGCCATTTCTACTTCACCCCTTTCCCACACATTTCTGTCCTCTGCAGGCTAGAGCTTGACACCACAGGCATGTCCTAGATGTACTTGTACACCACCTTGGAGGGCACAGTCTGGAGGTGCACTCGCACAGGGCACTTGTAGAAGTGGGACAGCAGGGTCTCACTATAGCCCACGAGGAAGTAGAACTTGTGTGCTGGCAGCTGTCTCAGCACCAGAGCACAGATCTCCACCTGGTTAGCCCGGCGCTTCAGGACAAGCTGGTCAGCCAGGCAGCCGGGAAAGGTACCATGCATAAACTTGCGAAGAAAAACATCCTCCACTGTTCGCTCTGCGGCGTGGTCCTCCCCATCCAGGTTACCTGAAGAGCGAAGGCACACAGAATCAGCAAAGCTTCAGAGGTAACATCCAAAAGCAAAGGGTACACAATTCTACCAACCCTGCCTCTTCTCTTTTCTTCTGTAAAAGGAATAAGAATAACACTTTAAAGTTCCAACTATATTCTTTCACTAAACTCCAAAACTAGGTACCACCACTATCCTTATTTTACAAAAGGAAAGAATGAGGCCTTAGCCAAGATATAAAACTCAGATGATTAGTCCATCTACTCCCTTCCCCACTCTTTTTTGCCTGCCTTAGAGCATGCATGGTCATCTGACAGGCCAGAGATGAGGCCACCAACTCCTGAGGTTTGGGACATGAGCTTTCTCACAAGCCAGGGCCATGGCCTACACCCAGTGGGTTTTCAGTGTGGACCCTGCAACCCCTACGGTTCTCACAACCACTGAATCTCCACACCCACCTGCAGACTTCAGAACCAGACCTGGAAAGGGTGGGAGGATAAGAACCTTTAAATAACTCTTCTAAGTAGATGCATCATAAACATCAAAGTTGAAAACCCTCATACTGAACAAAATACAGTACATTATCATTAATTTACAGTAGTTTTGTTCTATAAAGTAGCCATGATCTATGAATTAGCAAAAACTCAACCATAGCTCCTGGGAAAATGCAGGGCTAGGCTCTGCAAGTGTTTGGCTCAATTATTTCTGTCAACAGAGCAATATAGCATTTTGGGTTATGTGTTTCTACTTAAAGGGACCTTGTTTATTAAGTGGGCTGATTACCAGTGAACTCTCCCAACAGTTCTATAGCTCAGGCCTGAAGAAAGCTACTGATAGGCACTGCTCTCTGTCAAGTTATCACAGCTCCTTGAGCTCGGCATTGACGACTATTTTAAGACAGCAGAGTCATCAACAAAAAGCACAAAATTGTGGCCGAAACCGGTTTGGCTCAGTGGTAGAGCGTCAGTCTGCGGACTGAAAGGTCCCAGGTTCGATTCCGGTCAAGGGCATGAAAACCTTGGTTGCGGGCACATCCCCGGTAGGGGGTGTGCAAGAGGCAGCTGGTCAATGTTTCTCTCTCATCGATGTTTCTAGCTCTCTATCTCTCGCCCTTCCTCTCTGTAAAATATCAAAATATTTTTTTTTTTTAAAAGCACAAAATTGTGAAAACATGGCAGTAATAAATCTCGAAAAGGACACATTTAGTGTAGGAGAACTGAAACAAGAGGGCAGAGCCAGGAAGGAGACTTGAGGTGAACAGACAATAAAATATACAGATATCTCATAGAATTGTACCCCTAAAACTTATACAATTTTATTAACCAATGTCTCCCCAATAAATTCAATTAGATGTTTTTAAAAATGAATAAGTGTGGCCCTATCCGGTTTGGCTCAGTGGATAGAGCATCCGCCTGCGGACTCAAGGGCATGTACCTTGGTTGCAGGCACATCCCCAGTAGGAGGTGTGCGAGAGGCAGCTGCTCGATGTTTCTCTATATCCCTCTCCCTTTCTCTCTGTAAAAAAAAAAAAAAAAAAAAAAAAAAGCCAATAAAACATTTAAATAAATGAAGCGTGAACTGGTTTCTGACTCCGGCACTGAGCGCTGGTAGGAATAAACCTTGACACGAGCTCATCTCGTGTGTTTGAAGTCACAACTGAAATCCTTCGTGGGGCCCGGGGCCGCATCGCCAGCCTCCGGCGCGTGGTGTCCCCTCACCTGTGTGCAGCGACAGCCAGCCCTTGCGGTGGGCGATGTAGTGAGGCGCGTGCGCCTCCTCGTAGGTCACGGGCTTGTCCCCTTTGCCCACTCGGACCCGGGCCGCCCGATTCTAGGAACAAAGAGCGGCCTAAGTCCGTGCGCAAGACCCGGGCTGAGAGCGGGCCCCGGCCCTCACCTCTCTCCGCCCCCATCCCCACGGCCTCTCGTCCCCCCGACCCCCGCCCCGGTCCCTCACCGCTCCCCACCCGGCCCAGCGGCCTCCCGCCCCCGCCCCGGCCCCTCGTCCGCCGGCTCACCTTGGCACAGGCCGCGGAGACGTGCAGGGCGCGCCAGGCACCCGGCAGCGCTCGGCTCCAGGACAGCACCTGTGTGCGCGGAGGAAGAGCGTGAGACCCGAACCAGGCCACCCCTCCGACCCGGCCCACCTCGTCGCCCACTCACCCGCAGCCCGAGCCCCTTGCCGCACACGGGCGCCGCCATCTTGAGCTGGCCGCAGGCTGTGACGTAACACGCGTCGCGGAGCAAAGGTCAGCGCCGGGAGGCAACCGCGAACTGGACCAAGTTGAAGCCCGCGCGGGTGTGGAAGTCTCTCGGCCGGGGGCGGGGCCTCTCGGCCGGGGCGGGGTCTCTCGGCCGAGGACAGGGCCTCTCGGCTGGGGGCTGGCCTCTCGGCCGGGGCGGGGTCTCTCGGCCGGGGGCGGGGCCTCTCGGCCGGGGGCGGGCCTCTCAGCCGGGGCGGGGTCTCTCGGCCGGGGGCGGGGCCTCTCGGCCGGGGGCGGGCCTCTCGGCCGGGGCGGGGTCTCTCGGCCGGGGACGGGGCCTCTCGGCCGGGGCGGGGTCTCTCGGCCGGGGGCGGGGCCTCTCGGCCGGGGGCGGGCCTCTCGGCCGGGGGCGGGGCCTCTCGGCCGGGGGCAGGGCCTCTCGGCCGGGGCGGGGTCTCTCGGCCGGGGGCGGGGCCTCTCGGCCGAGGGCGGTGCTGCAGGGCGATTTTGGTTTCTGTACCTCTCCCGCCACCGCCACCACAGGAGTTTGCGTCCAGGTTCCCATCCGGATGCAGAGCGTAAGATCCTACCGACCCTCCACACCCCGCCCAGCGTGCCTGTGTCCTGAGGGAGGACCATAGCGTGGCCTCGCGCCGCCTCTCCCGACCTCACCTTGAAGCGCTACAAATTAGGCTTGTACTTGACTTGCTTCCAAATACTTTCTCCCCCACAATGTGGATTATATTTATTACATTAAAATCCTCATGATACATAAAGATAAGATCACAAAAACTGTCTACAAGATGCCATTTTTGTTAAAAAAAAAAAAAAAAATCACAGACCCATGTACACAGTAAGAACATAGAAGCCTATTTCAAATATTAGCAGTACTTTATCTTTGGAAAGTATGATCACGTGTAGGTTATTTTGGTATATATGTATTTTCCATAATGAACATATATTTTTTTATATTTCTGAAATTTTTAAATTTTTAAATTTTTCAAATAAAGTTTACTTTCAATAATATTTTCAAATAATATTTTTTGGGCTTCTAGAGTCTGCCTTGGGGGATGAGAACCTGGGGGCCTGGGATACTCAGACCAGAGCAGTACTGCTGATTGCTCTCTGGTGGTCACAGAGGAAAGGAACAACACTGTATGTCTTACTCTGAACTCAACACAAGAACCAGGAAAAATTTAGGCTCTAGGTCTGGAGTAACAATCTGTATACACTTGAACCTCAGTTCAATTATCTATAAAATGGGCTAATTGATAGTCCCACCTCATAGAGCTGTCGGGATAAATAGTTGTCATTGTTTCTGTTCGGTTGACTCATGTGGAATTGCTACCATTTGGCCTGTTTTTGTTATTTTACCTCCATCATCCACCCTAAGGCTGCTGTGGCTCCCATGGAAGGGAGGACAAGTCTACCCTTATGTGGAAGGGAAAGGGAGGCAAAGGTGGAGGGTAAGTTGCCTAAGATAGCATTGGGGAAGAAGAAAAGGGACCAAGTCTGTACATTCTCCATGACCACGATTCTGCTGGCCACTTGAAGCTGGGTCTTCAAAGAAAAAAATTTTTTTTAAATAAAAGGACAGTGTCTTTCATGCCCAGTTCACTAGAAATGTTTTATTCCTAATTTTCGTACCTGTGGCCTCCAACTATTCTGCATGTTGGATAAGAGGGCAAAACACGGATGAGATGGCCTCTAAGCACAATACTTCCTGATTGTAACAATTTTTAATCCTTCCTGAAGGACCCTTTTACACTGATATTTTATTTTCACTAAAGTTTGGCCATTTTATAACTTGACTAGTGGTCTGGTGCATGAATTCGTTCACATTTAAAGGAAATTAATTAAAAGAAATATTTTAATATTGCTATTCGCCCTTTCTCTATGTGAACGAACCTGGGAAAGAAAAATCCTTTCTCTTTTTTTTCTGAGTCAGTAGTGAAAAAATTATTTTGACTATAAACTTATCCCGAGTTCCTAAGATGTCAACCAAACCAGTTTGGAGAGTGGCTTTCTCTGCATGGAGTCATGATGCAGAGGAGCGCCAGGGGTTCGATCCCCGTGTGGTGACTTTGACCTCTCGCCTCACAGCCCCCATGTGCTGTCCTGGGCCTGGGTCTCCTTCCACCGTGTCAACCAAATTCACAATCGACAATGACAGATCAAAATACAAGCGTGTGATTGGCACCAGCGAGAACTTTATATGTATCTTTCATGTGTGAGTTAACTTAGCCTTTTATAGATATAAACTTGCTTAATTAGACCCGCTTTCTGATGTACCTAAACCTGTTCCAGTCAGTGAAGCACCCCAACTTCTCTTTCAGGTAATTGTCAGCAACTCAGCAATAAACATCAACATGAAGCAGATTATTACTGTAGATCCTGAAGTCATTTTCAAGCTCCATTATTTCTTACTTCTTTTCAGTAGAGTCAAATTTCTAAACTTTTTAAAATCTCAGTTTCCCGGCTAATGAAAAGAAAATAGGATTCCACGGAATCTCCTATCTACTTATTCCAGGACTTCTGTGAGGATCAAATGTGATGAAGCACGGGAAAACGTTTCACAGACATTTGGTTAAAGTGTGAAATGTTTGCACCTAACTATAAAGCTGTCATGTGCCTGGGCTGAAGAAACTGCAAGGAGGCTAGTGGCTAGGGAGAGGAAGCCGGGTGTTGCTACATGGCATCATTACCTGGACACTTAGCATATTAGCATTTTATATATATACTAGTAGCCCTGTGCAGGAATCCTTGTGCCAGTGGCTCTCTGCAGGGCCTGGCCACTCCTCACCTACTGCCCAGAGGCTCTCCGTGGCCCAGAGGCCAATCACAGCAGGTGCAGAAGGCTTGGCCGTGCTTTTCCAGTACACCTCAGGTGACCCAGATTTGTAGCCTTGCTTAAGAACCAGAGCCCTGCCGAAACCAGTTTGGCTCAGTGGATAGAGCATCAGCCTGCAGACTGAAAGGTCCCAGTTCGATTCCGGTCAAGGACATGTACCTTGCTTGTGAGCACATCCCCAGTAGGGGGTGTGCAAGAGGCAGCTGATAGACAATTCTCTCTCATCAATGTTTCTAACTCTATCCCTCTCTCTCCTCTCTGTAAAAAATCAATAAAATATATTTATAAAAAAAAAAGAAAGAAAGAAAAAAAAGAACCAGAGCCCAGAATGCAGGTTTATGCGGCAGACTCCCAGAACCTATGCAGGGGCACCAGGTGCAGGGTGTGTGTGTGGGGGGGGGGGGGATGACTGGTCTAGCTCTTACACCAGCTCACTCAGAGGGGATTGACTTAGTCCACGCCTGACCCTCTTGGACCACAAGGCAGAGGAGAAGCCTGCTGGAGGATCTGGACGTCTTTGAGATGGTCTGTCCAGTGGGTCCAGCACAGCCCAAGGGCTTGTCTCTGTTAGATAGGGTTCTGGCCAGTGGGTGACACTGTGTGTGGGGGCTCTGGGCCCCTGAATTTGCAGTCCAGCCAGGAATATGGTGAGTCATCTCAGGGAGAGATGCCCCAGCCGAGCCCTCTGCCTTCCTGTTGGCTGCAGGCTTAGCCCAGACAATGCCACTCACAACGGTCCTCCTGGCAAGACTACATCCCCATAGCTGATCACACTTGACATTTGTAAACCTGTACCTCAACATTACTCCTGGTAGTCAGGGGTCAATGGGAGAACCAAGAAGACATATGTAATTCTTCCAATGACAAGGAATAAAAAATAAAACAATGGCTCCTGGTGATTTGTTTTCTCCTGGTGGCCAGTCCATTCACCAGGAAGAATCCAAGGCTCCAAGCTCTCATCTGGGAACTAAGCCAAACCACAGCGGAACCCGAGTGCTGGCCCCATCCTCCACTTTCTTTATGGGGAGCCAAGGGGCTCTGACCATGGTCCTTCTCCAGCCCCCTCTCCACTGCTGAGGCACAGAACGGGGTGGTGCTACCGACCTCAGCTTCAGGGTGCTGAAGTAACCAGTTTCCACGCGCCCTGTTCCTTTGCCCAGTAACCTGGGCTGACAGCCACACTCCAGGCTTGCAGTGGTGGATGGGAAAATGGGCATCATATGCCATAAACTCAGACCTCACTAGATTTCCAGACCCCAGGACAGATCAGGACTCCAAAGTGGCTGACCACCTTCTGCAGGGAGCAGGGAGCTTGAGGTGGGGGTGGGGCGGGGGGCAGAAAAGCAGACAATAGAGAAGACCAGAACAGTAATAGGAACACTCACAGGCCTGCTTCTGAAAGGGTAGGGTGGAGGGGGGCTGCACCCTGAGGAAGAAGGACCTGCCTGACAGGCCACAGCCGGTGGAAGGAGGCCCAGGCCCAGGACAGCACATGGGGGCTGTGAGGCGAAAGGTCAAAGTCACCACACGGGGATCGAACCCCTGGCGCTCCTCTGCATCATGACTCCATGCAGAGAAAGCCACTCTCCAAACTGGTTTGGTTGACATCTTAGGAACTCGGGATAAGTTTATAGTCAAAATAATTTTTTCACTACTCAGAAAAAAAAGAGAAAGGATTTTTCTTTCCCAGGTTCGTTCACATCTGAGGAGCTGCAGGGAGCTACCATACCAGGCGTACACCGTACACATTTCTAACACAGGTCCTGCCAGGTGCTGTGTTTCAGTAAAGCTGAGAGAGCAACAGTTGCAGACACTGCTTTGTGCATCGTTAAGAAAAAAGCACATCTTTTTGAGGATTCATTTGAAGCTATGAACTCTCTTCCCAGAAGGAAAAGCACACACCTGATTTTTAGGAATTCAATAACTGAACCTTAACTTTGGACAACGGACAGATCCCCTAGTAAAGAACCCTTGATTGGTAGGGAACCAGTAGGGCTAGCTTCCCCAGGTCAGATTTCTGGAATAGCCGGGATCCACTTTAAAGGGGTTACACAAAGAATTCTAATACAGGTTCCCAGTGCATGGACGTGAGCCCAGAAGGATCCTGGGTGAACGTCCCACTGAGCAGGAGAAGCAAAGTAATGGGGACTTTGAATTATTTTCTATGAACCAACATCTAAAAACTTGTGTTATTTAATGATCCAGAAGGAGATGAGCTTACAGTGCCTGAGGATTACAGATTCTTTTTGTTTCAGAAGACATTTTCCGAGATCAGGTTTCCAGGGTTGGAGTATGGCTCTGCCTGTTGTGAGTCTCGAGTCTCACAGCATCCGAGAGCAACATCCCAAGCACGAGGAAGCCACGGCGCCCTGGGTTCCGAGAAGGGCCGAGGGGCCGAGGGCCTGGCTCGAGGAAGCCGTTCCAGACTGAGGCTCACTGACGGGGCCTAGCAAAAGGAATAAAGGACACAGAGGAGCGCAGGCCACCATCTCTGGCCGAGGTTTTCCTGAAGCCACAAAAGACAAAGGGGAGGCAGCCCAAGGACTAAGCTGAGGTTCCCAGAGCTGGTGGCACTGCTGGGACTGGGTTCCGAGGCTCAGCAAGTGACTTTGTTGAGGACCAGTGCGGGCCAGGACTTCAGCTGGAGAATTGACAGGACAAGGGCCCCAAATTCTGGCTCAAATGGTAGAAGGGAGGAAGGCTGGTCCCAGAAGAACAGCGTCAAAATAAGGGCTGGCATCGTGGGCCAATGGGCGAGCCTGCTGTGTGGGTGCTGGGGACGAGAACCAGGAAGTGGAGGCCCAGTGCCTAGGGCAGCAGCTCCCTAGCAGCTCTCTCTGCCTTCCGAGGTCCACTGCTCTGCCCCCCCCCCCCCCCCCCCCCGCAGAAGGGGACAGTGATGGGATTGTGGCAGGAACATTTCCTTTTCCCAGTAACAGTCTAGAAGGAACCTCCTCTCGGGGTCCCCTGCCCACCCTCCCTCAGAAAGACACTGATCTCTCGGAGGAAGCGAGAGCATCTGGCCCAGAGAGGAACCACCTGCTCCTCTCACTCGCGTGTCCGTTAGTTTCACAAACTTTTATTAATGCACCCGCAGTGTGCCAGACCCTGGGGTGACAAAGCTGGGTAACACAGCCCCTGCCCTCAAAGAGCTCACAGTCTGGGGGAGGGGCTGGCACATGAGCCCACACGTGTTCCTGCCATGGGAAGTTGTATACCAGGTGCTGCAGGGCGTGGGGAGCAGCAGGGTGGGGCTTCACGTCAGGCAATAAATAGATTTGCCACATGGTGTGTGAACCCACCAAGGCGGGGCTGGAGGGAAGCCTGTATGCTTCCTGGGGCCCCTTCCCCACCCCTCCTGGGACACTGCGTGATGGAGAGAGAGTGCCTCTCCGCTCCAGGCCGCCCAAGGAGCTGAGACACAGTCCTGTATGCATCCCCCACCCAGAGCCGCTCCATCCCTACAGCCTCTGCAGCTCAATAGGGCAGGAAACTCCAGGCCCATCTTCTGCTTTTCTACCTTCTCCCATGGGCGGGGCACCGGTGCCTCAGGTGCCAGCCCCAATGGACACCCCGAGCAGCCACACTCACAGCAGTCCCACCAGCTCAATGAGCTGCTGGATATTCCTGTGGGGCTCTGACAGGCCGTTCCTGATGTTCTCCAGCAGGCATCTCTTCAGCTCAAACACGGCCTCACTGTACCCCAAGCTCACGGCGGCCATGGGAGGCGCCCCGTGCCACAGGCCGGGCACATGCCAGACGTGCTGCTTCTCGGGGTCACAGAAGGCCAGGTCTGCCAGCGTCCGGAGGCCGCCTCCCTGCTTGTCCATGTGAATGCAGGCCCTGCTCGAGTCTGAGGGGGACTCCAGCAGCGGCCTCCTCTCACGTGGCTTCGGGCCAGGGCCAGACATGTCGTGAAGGTTCTGGTACACAAACTGATAGTTGGGCATGTGCCCCATTTTCTCCAGCCTCAGGAAGGCATGCAGGATGGCCGGTGGGATGTCCCTCGTTTCCGCTAAACTGACCACGGTGATGTCGCTCAGCCCCACGATCAAAGTGGCCAGGGAGGCCTCTAGCTCAAAGCGCTCCCCCGCAGTGGTCGGGGTGCCCGCTATCAACCCCCCCGAATCTATGACCAGGATGTGGTCACAGCCCAGGTCCTGGCTGAAGCTCTCGGCCACTGTGACAAGCTGCATGAAGGCCCCTCGAGGACCCCGGCCCCTCCCTGTGGCAAACCGAAGCCCGAACATGGTGTTGAGAAGAGTGGACTTCCCAGTGCCCGGCACGCCCAGCGCTGACAGCACCACCAGCCGTGACCTTCTCTCCAGGCGCGTGTGCAGCTCCTTCAGGAGCCCCGTGACCCAGCGCAGGGGGGTGCTCCGCGTGCTCCCGTCCACCAGCTCCAGGGGCAGCCCCCGCACCAGCAGCTCCACGGCTAAGCCCGGGAAGTGGGTGAATCGCCTCTGCCCTGTGGGCAGCTTCCCCGCATCCACCAGGCAGCTCTCTGCCTCGTAAAACTGTCCCATCTCCCGCAGGAAGTGCTCCACCCCCAGGGGCTCCAGCCAGAGCGGCTCTCGGTCCCCAGCCCCACCCTGCTTTGGTCTCAGGGCCGGAGCAGTCTCTGGGAGCTGCCTTGGCCTTGGGTGGGCCGCCCAGGCCAGGCCCCACTCCATCCACCTCAGGAAATACTGCCTCTCGCCCAGAGAGGGGCAGCTGATGCCTGCGATGAACTCCTGCACGGCCCCCGCAGGGGCGTGACCGCTCTGCTGCGTGCGGAGTTCCAGCAGCCGCTGCCTGAGCTCGACTAGGCGCTTGTCCGTGGGGTCCCCGGCCCACTGCGCCTGGCACAGCTCCCTCTCCACGCAGGCCGCCTTCCTCCACGGCTCCCCCTGCAGCCTCAGCTCTTCCCTGCGGTAGGCGTCGGGGTCCCTGATGCTCCTGGTGATGTGCTCCATCCGCTCCTTCGCCCGCTGGCACTCCTCGCAGTCCTCGTCCACCTTCAGCCCCAGCCTGCGGGCGGCCTGGGCCATGTCCTCCACAGACGCCCTCCTGCAGGGGGACCGGGCCACGCTCGCCACGATGGCGCGGACCCTGCGCGTGAAGCGGGCGCCGTCCGTGCTGCTGACCTTGACCAGCACGTGGGAGTGATCCATCCTCAGCACGGGGGTCAGCCGGTTCAGGAACCGCAGGTTGGAGTTGCGCTTCCCACGGTAGGGGCTCAGGATGAAGTAGTACTTGGTGGCTGACCCTTTCATGGAGGACAGCAGCTTGTACTCTTTCTTGCTGATGTTGTCGGTCAGGATGAACACAGCCGAGGAGACCTCTGTCAAGAGCTTAAACTGCAGCCAGTGAGACCCAATGTCACCTCTGAGGTTCAGAAAGGCCACGGGTTCCGGGCAAAGGTCCAGGTCCTCCCTGCCGCTGGGTAGGAGCCAGGAGACCTCCACCAGCCCGTCCGAGATCTCCCGGGGGCTGGTGCCCAGGCTCAGGTCTCGGTGCCAGAAGCAGTCTCGCTGCCTGTGGCCCGGGCTGAGCACGGCGTTGAGCAGCTGGGACTTGGAGTTGCTGCTGACCTCCATGCGCACAAAGGCGAAGGCTGGTGTCCGGGCCAGGACCACACTGTCCTCCCTGAGGCTGCCCACGCCCCTCGGGGGCTGAGCCCACCACGTCCGCACGACGCCCCGCATGGCCCATAGCAGGAAGGTGTGGGACTGGTGCTCCGAGTCAGGCAGAACGAGTGGGAGTGCAAACTGGCAGAGAGACATCCTCAGCACGATCTCCTGCTGCAGGAATCCATCGGAGGCGAGCAGCAAGGCACAGAGCAGGTCCAGGGGGTTCACGGGCGTGTCGGGCGTGGGCAGCTCTGAGAAGGAGTAGATGTCCGCGGAGATGTCATCGGCTGTGTCCCAGTAGATGACCTCCTCCTCCATCTGGCCCTCCTTCTCCGTGGGCCGGGCATCCACGGGCGAGGCCAGCACCGTGGTGCTCCGGGCCTCGGCGCTGCGGGCCTGCAGCCTCCTCAGGAAGGCCCAGGGCAGGTCTCTGGGAGCCTGAGGCGCCCAGTTCCTCACACTGTCACTGCTGATTTGCAGGGCGTCCTGCAGGCTCAGTTTCTGGGCCTGGTGTGCCTCCAGTCCCAATAGCGACAGCATTTCCTGCAGCCGGCTCCTCTCCACTGTGGAGGGAAAGAAAGAAGTAAGTGCTCGGCCGAGAGGGTGGCGCCCAAAGCAGAGGCAGGAAGGGGAGCCAACATGGTGGAGGTGGCCCTGCCAAGAGCAGGACGCCCTGAGCCCCTGAGGCACAGACACACATGCATCACACCACCCAGTCCCACCATAGGCAGACATGTGGGACTGGAGGGGTGAGGACAGGCCTCCAAGGCCACATGCAGATGTCTACGTGGCTGCTTCTCGGGAACTACAGGTTCAGCAGCACCGAGACCAAAGCAGACACCTGGGTGAGCAGCTGGATGCCCAGAAGGCAGCTCCCTGCACTCAGCAGCAGTGAAGCCCTCACACTGTTTTTATTTCTTAAGTAGTGAAGTGTAGCAGGGAACAGCCAGCACAAACAAGCCTGTTTATACGCCCACTCCTGCCCTGTGTGTGGCCCTCTGCGGTCTGTGACTGAAGCAACAGCCACACGAGTGGTACACAGACTGGCTGGACTTTAGAGTCAGTCCCTTGGAGAACTCGTTAAAACAACATCCAAGCCGAAACCGGTTTGGCTCAGTGGATAGAGAGTCGGCCTGCAGATGGAAAGGTCCCAGGTTCGATTCGGGTCAAGGGCATGTACCTTGGTTGCGGGCACATCCCCAGTAGGGAGTGTGCAAGAGGCAGCTGATCGATGATTCTCTCTCATCAATGTTTCTAACTCTCTATCCCTCTCTCTTCCACTCTGTGAAAAATCAATAAAATATATTTTAAATAAATAAATAAATAAATAAATAAATAAATAAATAAATAAAATATATTTAAAAAACACACAAAACATCCAAAGTGCCAGCTCACTATGTCCCTCTCTACAAGGACAGATCCCAGGGCTTGTTTCCTGCAGAAGCACACATGTGAGTTGATATGAGTTGATATGAAGTGGAGTTGATACTCCACTCCTGGGTGGAGTTTGATGCAGCCAGCAGCAGTAATGCTATTTCCTTCCGTGGGAAAGGACGTGGAGCAGAGAGCAGAAACGCCAGATAAAGAAAGCACGTACCTGTTGGAAAGTCACTGTCCTGAGCCTCATTCATACCATCTATAAAAGCAAAGGAAAAGGCGTGTCAATCAAACCAGGTGCCAGGACTCACACCAGTCAGTTTAAGCTGCACTTAGAGCCCTGTGTTTCTAAGACAGCAAGTTCTCCCGACTGTTCAACACATAAAATCGCACTTAGGTTTCCCTTTGCCCATTCCCTACCCCTGCCCCCCACACCCATCACCAAACCCCATGGCTTCTACCTCCATACTGAAGCTCGCAGTCATCTCCTTCCATTTCTCTCCATTCCAGATCTGGAAGAAAAACACATACGCGTTGAGTCTAGGCAGCAAGTTAGAGCGGTCACATGTCCCAGCAGTCCCATGCCAGGGGCACCTCCAGACACTGACACACTGTGTTCTGATATCGTTATTCACAAGAGCTAAGACATAGGAGCAGCCACGTGTCCATTAATGACACACGGATAAACAACATGGGTCTGTATCTACAATGGCAGGTTCTGCATAATGCTGCAGCATGGAGGAACCTGATGCTGAAGGAAGGAAGCCAGTCAAAACCAGACAAATACTGCTAAGAGTCCCTCACTGGAGGTACCTACAGTACAGACAGAAAGTATAATGGTGGGTGCCAGGGTTGGGGGCCAGGAGGGGGAGTTACGGTTTAATAGGTATAGAATTTCTTATTACAGGGTGAGCAAAGTTATGGGATGGTTGGTGCTGATGGGCACAGTACAATGTGAACGCATATAATGCCACTGAACTGTACACTTAGAAATGGTTAACACGTGTATTTAATAAAAAAGGGAAAACCATTTTATAGTGAATGATTCTGTGGCACTTAGCACAGTCACCTCCACTTCTTGTCTACCATCTCCAAACATTCCCATCCCCTGAAAGGAAGGCTCGGTCCCCAGGAAGCAGTTTTCCACATATCCCCACCCAGCCCCTTGAGCCTGCTTGTATCCACAGGGCACGAGGGTTCCAGTTGCTCCAAATCTTGGCCAACAGTGGTTCTTTTCTGTTTGTTTTTTATAGTTGCCACTCAAGTGGGTGTCAGGTGGTATCTCACTGAATAAATATTGGTTTGAATTTATACAATAAAACAAAACGTCACTGATCCAAACTTCTGTGCATACTTTGTGGAGTCATTTCTGTGTAACACTATTAATATCCAATTAAAAACATTCATTTGGAGACACACTAAATCTATGAAAGATACATCCAAAATGAGTTACTAGGAGAAATGAAGATGTCTGGAGTGTGGCCACTCCTTAAAGCTTAAGTCACGAGGGGCAGTTACAGCCCACCTACCCAGGACAGTTCCAAGATATACCTGTGGTCCCAAAAACATACACCTTTCCCCTCATGGACGCCAGCTTAGAGACTGGTCAGTCACTCCAGACGGGTCTCAGGCGGCAGTTATGATGTGGTCACATCGGACTGACGGACAGACACATCCTGCTGACATCACCTGTTTAAAACCAAATCCTGCCCTAACTGGTTTAGCTCAGCGGATAAAGCGTTCACCTGTGGACTGAAGGGTCGCAGGTTCGATTCTGGTCAAGTGCATGTACCTTGGTTGCGGGCACATCCCCAGTAGGGGTGTGCAGGAGACAGCTGATAAATGGTTCGCTCTCATGGATGATTCTAACTCTCTATCTCTCCCCTTTATTCTCTGTAAAAATAAATAAATAAATAAAAATAAAACTGAATCCTAGCTTGAATATAAAAGAGAAGCTTAAAGGATTCCTCGATGGAATACTCAGTGAAAGATAAAACAAAGCCTATGTTTATTTACTTTTTAGGTGCATGACCCCCACCAGGGCAGCGCTGGGAGCAGCATCCCAAAGGGACAGAGGAATGCGAATGTCTGCTGCAGGGGCGGGCACCCTTACCTGCAATGGCCACGGCTGCTGGTCTCTCAGAGGCTTTTATTTCAGGGGCCACGTCTCCTGAATCGGACTGTCTGAAACAATTTCAGAAGCGCATCAAAATTAAAGTAGTGAAATATCACATTGGCTGCATATCAAAATCTCTTGGGGAGCCTTTAAAAACAACAAATCCTGATCGCACCCCAGATCCTCAAAACCAGACTCTCAGAGGCTCTGAGTCCGGGCCAGGCATTGCTGCTTCTGAAAGTGCCCTCGGTGGTTCTGGTGTGTAGCCACACCAAGGGACACAGCCTGGAAAACCAGCCCTCTCAAAAACCAGGAGCCACACAAGACATGAAATCATACATACCCTCTGACCAGTAACTCCACTTCCACCCTAAGGAGATAATTAAGATTTAGTTACAAAGATGTTGATGCCAGCTTTACATATCACAGCAAACAACTGGACACATTTTAAAAGCAAAGTCCAATAACAGGGAGTTCTATGTACCTCTTATTCTGCTACCATTACAAAGTATTCCATGGATCTCATTTTGTAGACAAAGCCATGTTGAATAAGATGCTATGGAGCCCAACTGGTGTGGCTCAGTGGTTGAGTGTGGACCTATGAACCAGGAGATCACAGTTTGATTCCCAGTCAGGGCACATGCCCGGGATGTGGGCTTGATCCCAAGTGTGGGCATGCAGGAGACAGTTGATCAATGATTCTTTCTCATCACTGATATTTCTATTGCCCTCTCCCTCTCCCTTCCTCTCTGAAATCAATAAAAAAAAATATATTTTTTAAAAAGATGTTGTGGAATGGTGTTGGGGGTAAGTCAGGCGAGAGTGTGCGCAGAGCGACAACAACTTTTCTGCAGTAGACACAGGCGAGCAGAGGTTTGCCTGCAGTGGACAGGGTGGGCAGGGAGGGTGGTCCTAACTCCTGAGTAGGTGTGAGAAGCACAGTCCACTTCAGAATCCCTACTTCAGGTATGTCATGGGGATGAGTAAACGTGCTGACTTGGTCAGGAGCCAGGGCCCTCAGCTGAAGACAGACACATAGACGAGGAGTGGAAGAAGTCAGACACAGGATTCATGGAGCCTCGATTGCAGGTCCACGAGTGACCTTGTGATCCCTGCCTACATGCTTGTGTGCACTTATGTTTGTGTGTGCAAACACACGTGTGGATTTCCTAGCTCTGTCCACTGACAGGGCCACACAACAATGAGCACACAAGCACACCTCAGTCATTCTTCACTAACCGGCACCCACTCTCCGTGAAGAAATGGTTGGTGCCAGACCTGGGGCAGAGGAAGAACCAGCTGAGCCTAAGTACCTAATTTCAGAAAGCACAAAGTGCTCAAAATAAATAAATTAATTAATTAACTCTAGGGCATATCACAGGACACAGCAGCCAGCCTGAAGGGGTCCCACTGTGACATCTGGGAAAATCTAAGCACGAACAACATTAAATACGGTAATTAAAAGCCATTGAAACACAGGAATCGGTGAGTGCACTCAGACAATGGGCAGAGGAGCCCACGGGGAACGAGGACGCGTGTCATGGCAGGATGCCCCCGCGAGCTGTGGCGGCTGGAAGGGCAGCTTGTGCGATCACAAGCCGGGACACCGAGACACCCAGTTCGGGAGGAACGTGGCAGGGACGAGGTGTCTGCCCAGCCTCGCACCATCTCCTAGACGGCCTGCCAGGTACCAGGGAGAGAACCCCGTCACCCCGAGAAAGGAGGGCTGTGGCGAAGGCTAAACCCTGATGGAATCATGAGGACAAACCCAAAGTGAAACTTCATGCCAGGTGGGGAGGAAACTGCATTTTCCCAAAGTATGAGAGTCCTAACACGAACAGAAAGTACTGAGGGATGGGCCGGATCAAGTGCTGTGGAGGCAGGAAAACAAAACGCAACACCTCACCCTCCATTGGATCTTGAAACAGGAGGAGAAGCTTTAGGGTCTACCGGCCAAATTGAAATATGGGTGTTGTCCATGTTAAGTTTATGATGTTGACAACTGTGTTCTGGTTGTGTAAGAAGATCCCTATATTAGAAACACCAATCAGAAAGGATATATGCACCCCTATGTTCATAGCAGCACAATTTACAATAGCTAGGATTTGGAAACAGCCTAGTAGCCCGTCAGCAGATGATTGGATAAAAAAAACTATGGTACATCTACACAATGGAATACTATGCTGCCATAAAGAAGAAGAAATTCTCATCATTTGCAGCAACCTGGATGGAACTGGAGAACATCATGCTGAGTGAAATAAGCCAGTCGATGAAAGAGAAACACCACATGACCTCACTCATTCATGGATAATAAAGAACATTATAAACTGATGAACCAAAAGATGGATATAGAGACAGTAAAGCAACAAGCAGACTGTCAAATTATAACAGGTAGGGTAGGGAGATCTGGGGGAGATAATAGATCAACCAAAGGACTTGTATACATGCATATAAGTACAACCAATGGACACAAAACTCTGGGAAGGGAGGGTATGTATGGGAGGTGGGGGCAATGTTAAAATATGTACACAGATAATAATTTAATTAAAAAATGTAAAAAAAATAACAGAAAAAAAAAAGAACATCCCTATTCATAGTACATAGACACACAGTACATAGATTCAGGGATAAAGGCTGATGTATGCAAATTACCCTCTAATGCTTTTTAAAAATGGCACACATGTGTAACTTATATGTGCATGTGTGTATACACACATGCATACACATAGAGACAGCGAAAGAATGACAAATGAGAATGGCAAATGAACTAAAATGTCAAGAATAGGCCATTCTTTTTAAAAATATATTTTTTTATTGACTTCAGAGAGAAAGGGAGAAGAAGAGACACAGAAACATCAATGAGAGAGAATCATTGATTGGCTGCTTCCTGCATGCCCCACAGTGGAGATCGAACCCTCGAGCCTGCAACCCAGGCGTGTTCCTGACCGGGAATCAAACTCTGACCTCCTAATCATAGGTCAATGCTCAACCACTGAGCCATACCAGCTGGACTAGGACACTCTTGATAAGGGGAATTTTTATTTTTATAATTTCTTTATAAGCAGAAATTACTTTTAAATAAAATGTTTAAAATAGAGGTTAGGTATTTCTGGGTATAGTATGTGTATTCTCTTATTTGAAGTCTTTAAATAGAATCATGTACTTATTTAATAAAATTAAAAGGGCTATTAAAAACGATGCTGTGAGTGGGGAGTCAGGGCCAGAACACAGTGCCGCAAGGATACCCAATGCTCTGGGACCTCTTTGTGCCAATGTTAGCTATAGTTGGTGGCAGGCACATGGGAGACACGCAGTCCAGCTCTGCTTAATCCACCAGCAACACGACTGCTGTGTGCACCAGTCCCCAATCCCCCCCCACACCCGAAATTTCAGGACCCGCACTGATTATGCCAGTACGTTCCATGGGTCCCCACTGCCCTCTCTGAGCTGTCCCAGTCCCCATACTGGTCACTGTGCACTAAGTACCTGACTTCATCTGGACTGCTGCTAGTACACAGAGGAGTCTGCCTTCTCACTCTTCTACAGAGAACATACACTGTTTTTGTAATAAGGACAGAAAACAACCTTCACAAAGGAAAAAGCAGGATGGGTTAAAGAGTTCCCCTGAGGGCAGGTATTTACAGCCAGGGGAGAACAGCAATAAAACCTCACTTTCATCCAGTGCTTTTTGTCAATCCTCACCTGAGGATATTTTCCAAGGATATTCCTCACCCCCACCCCACCCCTGATTATTAGGGAGTGGAAAAGAGAGAGAAAGACAGAGAGACACATGGATGTGAGAGAAACACATCCATGGGTTGCCTCCTGCACGATCCCTGACCAGGGCCTGGGCTGGGGAGGAGCCTGCAACAAAGGTATGTGCCCACCCTCACTGGTTTAGCTCAGTGGTTAGAGCGTCGGCCTGCGAAATGAAAGGTCCCAGGTTCAATTCTGATCAAGGGCATGTACCTTGGTTGCAGGCATATCCCCAGTAGGAGATGTGCAGGAGGCGGCTGATTGATGTTTCTAACTCTCTATCCCTCTCTGTAAAAAAAAAAATCAATAAATATATATTTTTAAATAGGTATGTGCCCTTGACCCTAATCAAACCTGGGCCCTCTGGGCTTCAGGCCAACACTCTATCCACTGAGCCAAACCAGCTAGGGCCATCTAGTGCTTTTCACTGACAACTCTGCTTCCAGTGCCTGAGTTGTGTACTGCAAGTCCCCATGCTGGAGCCATAACTCATTGTGACTATTTGGAGAAAGCGGGCAAAACCCAGGATCAGAAGCGGTCATAAGGGGCTGCCCTGATCTGATGGGAGTGGTGTTCCCTTGGGCCGCTCTCTGCCTGCGGGCTCAGGACAGGCCACAGCAAGAAGGCGGGCCTACAAACCAAACCAGCCTGCAGCGTGATCTGCAAGAGATAAAGGTCTGCTGTTCAGCCCCCCAGGCCTGGTACTGATTGGTCACAGAAACCTTGAGCAGAAGGCGCTCCTCAGGCCGTTCACAGATGACCAGACCAAAAAGCCAACAACAGCCCTTCCAATGGCCTCAGCGTGGGCGAGGGGGCTTTCAGGACAGCAGTGTTTGAAAACCACTAATACTACCAATATCTGTGCCTGATTCCAAACACACGACTACAGAACACAGACGTACAAAGCAAGACCTTTGCTCTTTGAAAAATACTCAACATATTAACCCATCTTCTCCTTTCAATCTAGTCACGTTGCTGCAGGTCATTCCATGAACTGACAATACTCAGGACTAACTCTACGGCTTGTTTCAGTGCTTAGAAAGAACAGGAAGGAAGGAGGACAAACTCTGCAGCAAGCAACTCGAGACCCAGGCCCCGGCACTGGCAGAGCTGGTCTGCGAGAGTCTGGCCAGTGGAGGGTCTGGTCACAGCACAGCATCTTCTACTCACTCTCTCACAACAGCCTGGAGGAATAAAGGGAATCCCTAATGCTGCGTTCACCAAAGTCAATGCCAAATGAGTCAGAGTCAAATTAGAAAATGAAACAAAAAATGCACTGAAAGAAAAGAGTAAAGACTTAAAACCTCAGAGTAGGTGTGCTCAAAAGACAGATGGACAGAAGCATTTGTGGCACAAATGACAAAAGCCTTCCATTCTCACCGATACCCGTTTGGCTCAGTGGATAGAGCATCGGCCTGCGGAGTGAAGGGTCCCGGGTTCGATTCTGGTCAACGGCATGTACTTTGGTTGTGGGCACATGTCCCAATAGGGGGTGTGCAGGAGGCAGCTGATTGATGATTCTCTCTCATCGATGTTTCTAACTATCTATCCCTCTCTCTTCCTCTCTTAAAAATCAATAAAATATATTTTTTTAAAAATAAGGCAACTAGCCCGGCCAGTATAACTCAGCGGCTGAGCATCGACCCAGGAACCAGGAGGCCGTCAGTTCGATTCCTGGTCAGGGCACATACCCAGGTTGCGGGCTCCATTCCCTGTGGGGGCGTGCAGGAGGCAGACAATAGATGATGTTTCTCTCTCATCAGTGTTTCTCTTAATCCCTCTCCCTTTCTGTCTCAATAAAAACATATTTTATTCCGGTCAAGGGCACGTACGTTGGCTGCGGGCACATCCCTAGTAGGGGATGTGCAGGAGGCGGCTGGTAGATGTTCTCTCTTATCGATGTTTCTGGCTCTCTGTCTCTCTCCCTTCCTCTCTGTAAAAAAATCAATAAAATATATTTAAAAATAAAATAAAATAAAATAAAATTAGGCAACTAACAATTTTATGAAAAGCTACAATATAGCAATAAAGACTTATTTAATTAAAAAAAAGAAAAGCTACAATATAACCCTGTCGCTGGTCTGGGCTAGAGTATCAGCCCCCGCTGCGAAGGCTCTGGGTTCCATTTCCGGTCAAGGGCATGTACCTGGGTTGCAGGTGTCCGATTGTGACCAGTGGGATGTGTGGGGGCAGCAACCAATCTCCGTGTCTCCCTCACATCGATGTTTCTCTCTCTTTCTCCTCTCGCCCCCTTCTACTCTCTCTAAAAATCAATGGGGAAAGAACAAACCAAAAAAGGGCTACAATGTAGAGAATCTACAGGACCACCACATCTGAACCACAACAGGAAAGGCCGTCCTGCGCACGGGCACGGACACTCAAGGTGGGTCTCAGAAAGCACAGCCTTGGTGGGAATCCTTCTTTAAAGGAAATAGCCACTTCTAAGTTATTGCCTTTCAGCCAACTTTTGTAAAGCCATAACCAATGGGACAACTGCTTTTCTCATACAGCTTCTGACACCAACGAAGAGTGAGAATACATCCTCACTTCAGCTTCACCCAGAGCATTCTGGTCAAAACAAAATACAGAGTCCGACGTTTTTGTTTGTGCTTCATTAACCAAATATAAACCAACCTTCCTCAATGTGGTGGTTCTACACCAAGTTTTAACTTAAAATGCTTGCCAGGACCGGTTTGGCTCAGTGGATAGAGCGTCAGCCTGCGGACTGAAGGGTCCCAGGTTCGATTCCGGTCAAGGGCATGTACCTTGGTTGCGGGCACATCCCCAGTAGGGGGTGTGCAAGAGGCAGCTGGTCGATGTTTCTCTCTCATCAACATTTCTAACTCTCTGTCCTTCTCAATTCCTCTCTGTGTAAAATCAATAAAATATATATATTTTTTAAAATGCTTAGTTAGGCCTCAGGTTCCTAACCTGTGTAATGGAGATTAAAACAGGATTAAGGATAGGGTTGTGGTGAAGATTCGGTGACTTACTACATGCAAAAGCACCGCGAAGGGCTTGACAGTTCCTCCATGAACAACCAGCAGAAACCACACTGCCCTTCCCATCCGTGCCCTGAGGCCCTGCACTGCTCCCATAGCACCGACTTCAGGAGACAGAGCGGCTGCTGGTCAGCTGGAGGTAACAAGGCAGAGGATCTGAGGAAGCCACGTCTCCCAGGCTGAACTCTTGACTGTCAGCGAAGCCTGCAGAACAGACACCTTGGAAGGGTGGACTACCCCAGACCTGTATACAGCATGAAGGCACATTTCTCTTTACAAAACAGCATAGCGTGCATTGAAGATTTTGTGACCCAGCTTTGCAGTGGGGCACTTACAGATTTGTACCAACTTTAGACTGGCGGGCTCATTCACAAGTAGTTGTAATACAAACATCAAGTCTGCACTAATGGCACTTTCTATAGGGACACGGTGCAGGGCCCACGGCCCTACAGAAGGGCACACCCGCCTGGCCCTTAGTCCCCTCCTGACCATGCCTGCAAGGAGAGGGCCTAGATGCCAGAGGCACCATCCCTTTCAAACCAGGCTTCATGGCTTCCACACCCAGGCTCAGACACCTGCCGCTGCCCCGCCTGAGGGCTGGCCACAGGGGACCTTGACCCCCCGGGGTGAATCAGCACGGCCTTCTGAGGGATGGGCCCTTGTTTATCCATTTATGAGCTCTGAGTACTGGCCCCTCTGACCACTGCTCCTCAGGCCAAGAGGCAGCGAGCGGGTAAGGCAGGGAATGCCGGGACAGCTAGTCAGAGCCTGTCACGGGGAGGGGCAGGGAGGAGCTCCCCCACCGCTCATCCCTCAGGCCTGGCCCCCACCTCCACCCGCGGGGCAGGCTCGCACCCGCAGCCGCACCTGCACAGGCCCGAGGGGTGAGAGATGCATCACTTGTTCCAGGTCACAAGCACCAGGTCTGAGCCCCTGGGCAGGTGGGTGCCGGTCAAAGGACGACTAGGCCCGCTCCAGCCATGACCTTGAGTCTAGTCTCCCCTCCCGAAGCCGGAGGGACGGCACTCCCGGCTCACCGACTGGATTCCCCAAATAAAGTGACCCTAACGCATGCATGAGGCTTCATTTGGCAAGGAGGGTTTCCCAAAAACGGCCACCTCTGTCACCATGGCTTCCAGAGGAAAGAACAGTTTGACGCGGAGTGGCAGAGGGAGGGGGGTCAGACGGGGGCGGCCGCCCACAGGCCACGGAGCACCGGTTCGGCACTGCGCGGGGCCAGGCGGGCCGGCGAGCGGGGTCCCCGCCTGGCCGCTGCCCTGGGGCGTCCGGGCCGCTTCCCGCCGCCGGAGCGAACCCACCGAGGCGACAGCGGGGCGCTCCCCTCCCCCTCGCCCGGCCCGCCGCCGCGGCCCCAAGGTCGCCGGGGTCCGCGGGGCCGCGCAGGAGGCCGGGGAGGGAGGCCGCCCCCGCCTCGCCCACCCGCCCGGCGCGGCCCCCGGCCCGGCCCGAACGCGGACTCACCCCGGTGACGCCATGAGCGCGGCGAGGGCTCCGCCGCCGCCTCCGCTTCCTCCGCGGCGCGGGGAGGGGCCTCGCGGCCACCGGCTGGGCTGTCCGCCGGCGCTCCGGGCGGCGGAGCTGGGGGCGGGAGCCCGGAGCGCGCGGGCCCGGGGGCGGGCGGAGGGGCAGGTGGGGAGGATGGGCGGGCGGGGGGGGGGGGGGGTACGAATCCCGGGGACGGGGTAGGAAGGGTCTGGGGAGGGGCAACGGCTGGAGTGAGGGAGGTCGGGTAATTTTTAAGTGAAAGCTGCTGGCCTTAAGAGATTTCTTAAATAATTAGCACAAGTTAATGGAAATAAGTATGTTTCCCAGCGCGAGTTTCAGTGGGTGCGAGGCGTCTCAGCGCTGGGTGGGCAGGGCCTTCATCACAAACGGGGCGCACAGGCCACATCCCGCACTTCCATGGAGACCAGCTCCTGGAGCCTGGCTTCCAGGGGTTGGATTTCTAGGTCAGATGATATCAGGGTTTTCAGACTTTCCAGATACCATGTCTCTGTACATACAAACATGAGTACCAGTACACGTATACCTATGAGTAGACGCCACACACATATACATACTACATGCACACACATACATGCTGCTCCCAGCAGTCACCAACATGGATGACAGGGCCAGTTTCCCAAAACCCTATCAATTTCCCATGTTTGCTTATCATTGCCAATTTCATAGGTTAAAACCATCCTCCCCAGAATGGCAGACTGCAAGCTCCAAGCTCTCTTTCTCCACAGAAACATGAGAACTCACCAGAAACTGCCCGCACTTGCTTCGCAGGGCTGTGGACTAGTGGGAGTTGTGCACAACCCAGCACAGCTCGGGCCAGGAAAAGCATCTTCACAGGACGGGATCGGTGGCCTTTTCACTTGCTTTGCCCGTCCTTCCCCAAGGTCCTGGTGGCCCTGGTCCAGAGACCCTACTGCTCTGCTATCACTAGTTCAAGGGGATTCGGGGCTGAAAGGGGGATGGGGAACAGGAATGGGAGCTCCGAAGGGCAAGTTCTAAGCGAAGAGCCTGCCCATTGATGTGGCGAGGGGTCAGCACAGGGCTTCCTGGGCAGCAGACCTCCGCTCGGAAAGGGGGTGATGGCGGAGGTCTCAGTAAGCCCAGGTTCTTTGGTTCCCTGTAGCAGTGTTTCCCAAACTTTTGACATATGTGTACCCCTTCTATAATTTTCGTAACACTGAGTACCCCTCGTACTCATGAGAACGTAGAATTAGGCGCAGCTAAGCACGGTGCAGTGCATATCCCCACCAAACTCCGGTGCAATGAGTACCCCCACCAAACTCTTCCCGTACCCCAGGGGGTACACGTACCACACTTTGGGAAACACTGCCCTGTAGGAAAGCCGGGTCCGCAGGGAGGGAGGAAAGTCAGCGGGGAGGGAGGGACTTTGGTTCTGGTTGTAGGTGGAAGAACTTTTTCTTCTTAATTGATTGCAGAGAGGAAGGGAGAGGGAGATAATCATCCATGATGAGAGAGAATCATGGATCAGCTGCCTCCTGCACGCCCCCACACTAGGGATCCAGTCGGCAACCCGACATATGCACTGACCAGGAATCAAGCCATAACCTACTGGTTCATAGGTTCACATTCAACTTCTGAGTCACGTCAGCAGGGCTAGAAGGACATTTTTTATTTATTTATTTTTTAAAATTTATTTTATTGATTTTTGTTCAGAGTGGAAGGGAGAGAGATAGAGAGTTCGAAACATCAATGAGAGAGAGTCATTGATCAGTTGCCTCTTGCACACCCCCTACTGGGGATATGCCCGCAACCAAGGTACATGCCCTTGACCGGAATCGAACCCAGGGCCTTCAGTCCCCAAGCCGACGCTCTATCCATTGAGCCAAACCGGTCCCGGCAAGAAGGACATTTTTTTAAAAACAGCAAAATGGCAGTAATTCCTTCTCATCAGTAATTATTTCAATGTAAATGGATTAAACTAATCAAAAGGCAGAGATTGACAGAATGGATTTTAAAAAAAATGATTCGAGCCCTAGCTGGTTTGGCTCAATGAGTAGAACGGCGGCCTGTGGACTGCAGAGTCCTGGGGTTCAATTCCAGTCCAGGGCACATGCCCAGGTTGTAGTATTGGTCCCCAGTAGGGGGCGTGCAGCAGACAACCAATCAATGATTCTCTCTCATCCATGATGTTTCTATCTCTCGCTCCCTCTCTCGTTCTCTCTGAAATCAATAAAAAATATATTTAAAAATAATTTGAACATATACAGTCTACACTTTAAAGAAACTCACTAAAGATCTAATGATAAAAAAGGTAGGGAGTAAAAGAATGGAAAAAGAGATCCCATGCAAACATTAACCAAAAGGAAGCTATACGAATATGAAGAATAGAGCCACCCAGCAATTCCTCTTCCGGGGATCTAACCAGAAAACGCTGTGAAAACATTTATAAAGATGCATCTCTACGTTCACTGCAGCGTTAGTCACAATGGCCAGGGCCTGGGCAGCACCTAAGTATCCTTCACCTGATGACTGGATGAAGACGTGGTGCCATGGACTACACCCCTTAGCATAAAAAAGATGGGATCCTGCCATTTGTGACAACAGGGCTAGATCGTGAGTATCAAGCTACGTAAGTGAAATAAGTCAGACCGAAAGGATGATTTCACTCATATGCGGGATATCAAAAACAAACAGCCCTGACTGACTGGCTCAGCTGGAGCTCATCTCGGCGCCGCTGCCCCGCTGCCATGCCGTGTCTCGGGGAAAGGCGGTGAAGCCCTGACGCCCACACGGAGGTGGAATTCTTACAGACACGTTCACAGCGGGGCTGGGAGCCGCTGGCGGCCGCCGGGGAGGCGCCCGGAAGCCGCGCGGGGCCGCGAGCCAGGCTGCGCGCTCGCTGCTGGCCTGGAGCGCCCCCTCCCGGCAACATCCGGGCCTCCGGACCGCGCCGCTCGCTCCCGCGCCTCCGCACGCCGGCCCACAGTGCCCCGCGGCGCGCACGCGCAGGCGGCCGTTCCCCTAGCGGCGCTGCGCGGCGGCGGAGCCGGCAGCGGGCAGCCTCTGGCCGCCCTGGACCGGAGGCAGCCTGGTCCCCAGCAGCGGGGAGAGGATGGCTCTGAAGCGGATCAAGAAGGTAAGGAGCCCTTTGGTCCTCGGGCTCCTTGCGAGTCCCAAGCGCCCACTCGCCCGCGGGTCGTTGGCCCCGGTGGACGGGTCGGAAGGGCACCGAGCGCAGCGACACCTGCCCGGAGGGAGCGAACCGCCGCCTGGGCGGCGCGCGCAGGCCGGGCCGGTAGCGCCGTTGGTGCGAGGCCCCGGGCGCCTCGATTGTGGTTGGAGCCGCCCAGGGCACGTACATACCAACCAGCAGCGCACAGATCAGCGGACAACAACCCCACGTTCCCTTCCCTCTCCTCTCTCCTTCTCCATCAATGAATTTTAAAAATAAGGGCGGGCATGGCACGTGGGGCCGAACCGAACAAGGCCGGCCCGCACCTGTTAGGGAGGTGCGGGAACGTGAGGGCTTGTTTTTCTGAAATCACATTGTTCTTCCTTTAAATGCCAGTTAGCAGCTGACACTCTTCGGACTTCATCAAGACTCGTGGTCTTGCCCTGGCTGGTGTGGCTCCGTGGCTAGAGCCTAGGCCTGCGGACTAAAGGGTCCCGGGTTCCATACCAAAGGAACATGCTCGGGTTGTGGGCGCGATCCCCAGTAGGGGTTGTGCAGGAGGCAGCCAGTCAACGATTCTCTCATCATTGATGTTTCAATCTCTCCATCTCCCTTCGTCCCTGAAATCAATATATTATCATTAAAAAAAAAAAAAAAAAAAAAAAAAAAAAAAACAACGCGGTCTTTAAAGAAGCATTAGGTCCCAGTAACCATTTCCCACACCACCAGAGAGGGTCCGCGTTCTGGGGGGACGTGGTGAGGTGGGGGGATAGGGAGTTGGGCCTGCACTCGGCCCTTCCCTGGTCTCCAGGGTTGTCCTGACAGCCAGCTTCTCTCTCCTTGGCTGTGGTGGTGGGGGCACTGAGCGTGCTGTAAGCTTCCCCAGGGCAGCACTATAGCTTCTGAGAGCCAGGAGGTGTTTACAAACAACCCTCTGGGATGAAGTGTGGCTGGATGGTATAGTGCTTGCTGGTCACTGTGGTGTAAACACTCCTGTGTAGCCAGTATAGGAGGGGAGGAGGAGTAGACACAGGTGGCAGGAGAGCCAGAGTGTGGAGTGGGGGGACTAGAATGGTCAGCACGCCCCAGACATCGGGAGTCAGGAGGGTCTGGGCTCATTTTCAGGCTTGTTCAGGTAGGAGTGTCACCAATCAGGTGTGAGCTTTGTGCATGTTCTCCAGACGTGGGGTGTCCCCCTGCAACCTGCTGGACCTGGGTCTCTGCCTTCTTCCTGGGCGTTAGAGCCTACTGGAAACTCCGCGGTTCGCCCAGATCTGGAACCTGGGAGGATGGAGAAGGTTAGGATACATGCATGGACATGCAAGCTCAGTTTGAGAGTGTCACTGTCCAGAAGCTTGGGCTTTGATGCTCATGCTAGGCCAGGAAAACTGGATTGTGAATCTAGCTGTCGTGTAACTCCCAATTCTCTGCAGGTATATGGGCGGCTCCATCAGTCAGACTGACTGGTGGCCTTAGTCTCTCACCCAGAGCCTTGAGCCTTGCCATATCCCATGGTTGGTCAGGTGGGAGGGGAGCCAGATGGAAGTGCAGGAGCCCTGTCCTTCACTGAGCACCTCCTCTGGGCTGAAGGCTTCTGTGCATTATCTCGGGAGCTCAGAGCTAAAACCCTGCCTTCACCTGCATGTGAGCGAGGGTAGGCTTGAGGGTGAGGCGCACACACAGAGCTCCTTACGCTGTCCTCTCAGCTCGGTGATCTTGGTAGGCAGCTTAGCTTCTTCATATTTCAGTTTCTAACTTACAAAATGAAAAATGCTGACACATACTTGACAAGTGTCTTCACAACCACCAGCAGACCTTTCTGTCTCTTGTTCTCATTGCCAGGCCAATTGTTCCCGGGGCCTGGACGCCCTTCCCGGGAGGAGGCACTGCTGGCCCAGGGGTGTGGGTGCAGATAGCCTCCCGCACACAGCTCTGAGCCGCTCCTTGTGTTCTAGGAATTGAGTGACCTGCAGAGGGATCCTCCTGCCCAGTGGTCCGCAAGACCTGTGGGAGATGATTGTGAGTATTCTTTTCCAGCTCTGGGTCACAGGAGCCTTGCCATAAGACCCCAAAATTTATTAGTCCAGCTGTTTCTAAAGAAAACTTACTGTTTTCCCTCATTTGCTCGTGAATTGCTTTTTCATTAGACACATTGAGTTCATAGCCTGGCTGATCAGGATGGTACTTGACATCACCACCCCTCCACCACCCTGTCCTTCACTGAGCTCCCTCCACTATTGGTCCCAGGCACTTGGCTACTCTGGGTATATCCCCTATCGGGACCACACCTTAACCCTTTCGTATAACCGTGCGTTCTCTCAAGGCTCATCCATCTTAAGCACAAATCAGAACTCCTTTCCTCTCTGGGCTAACCACACGCTGCTGTGTGGACACACCACCTCTGTTTACTCCTCCACCTGTTGCCAGGCACTCGGGCCTTCACCTCCTCCGGGGCACCGGAAAGCACTTGGCTTCGGAAAGTGCCTCTGGGTTGTTGGTGTGAAGTGGTCATGAAAGCTATGGTGCTGCTGCATGTGGGTCACCTGGTGTCTGCCAAGAGGGGGTGGAGGGTGAGCAGCGCTCATGCTTCCCCCACTCTGCTCCTCCCCGGGGAGCGGCAGCCAGCCCTCGGCTCCTGTGCTGCTGACTGGCCAAGGCCCCAAGTACATGTTCTGCTCCCACCTCACCTCCACTCTCATCTTGACTATGAGATGGTGTCACCTGCACAGTCACCAAAGAACTGAAAATAGGGACTCAAATGGAACTCTATGAAGGTATCACCGTCACTGAAGGCCCAAGTGCCCGGCGACAGGTGGAGGAGCAAGCAGAGATGGTTGTGTCCACACAGCAGCGTGTGGTTAGCACGGAGAGGAAAGGAGTTTTGACTCGTGCTGAAGATGGCCAAGCCTTGAGAGCACGCATGGCCATATAAGCCTTGCACAAAAGGGCTAAGGTGTGGTCCCGGTAAGGGCTATACCCAGAGTAGGCAAGTGCCTGGGACCAGAAGTGGAGGGAGCTCATGGAGGTGGAGGGAGGCAGAAATGTGCAATATTTCTGTTTGGATCATGAAACGTGGCAGAATGGGTAATGTGGTGGCTGGGCAACATTGATACACTTAATACTGCTGAACTCATTTAGAATGGCTACGATGAAGTTTACATATTTTTTACTTTTTATTGTGTGAAAATGCACATAACAGAGTTTACCATCTTTTTTTTTTTAAATATATTTTATTGATTTTTCACAGAGAGGAAGAGAGAGGGATAGAGAGTTAGAAACATTGATGAGAGAGAATCATTGATCAGCTGCCTCTTGCACACCCACTTCTGGGGATGTGCCCACAACCAAGGTACATGCCCTTGACCGGAATCGAACCCGGGACCCTTCAGTCCGCAGGCTGACGCTCTATCCACTGAGCCAAACCGGTCCCGGCGTGTTTACCATCTTAACCACCTGTAAGCACATAGTTCAGTGGTATCACATACATCCACACTGCTAGACAGCCACCGTCACTCTCCATCCTGGTAACTGTCTTGTTACCATTATGTTGCATGTGTTAATTGCAATAAAAAAGAAACTTTCCAAGGCTGGCAGGAAAGAGGAGGTGGGGTCACACGCACATGCTGTGGCTGCAGTGCTGAGAGTGGACGTGCGAAGGCACGTGTGACAGTCTGGTGGACAGTCTTAGTGTGTGTGTTGGGTATTTGTCCCCAGTGGCTGTGGTACCACTGTTCCCTGATCCTGCTTAGCACTTAGCCCTGCTGTCTCTTCAAGCACCCCAGGTCTCTAGCATAATTTCCCATGTTACCTGTCACAACAATGACAAACTAGGGCGCTGATAAGATGGAACTGGTCCCAACTCAGCCCAGCTTCCTGGCAGCACACTCAATGCTTGCTCTGCACCTGCATGTTCACCTTCACTGCAGCCCTGTGCTGGAGGTAGCATCATTGCTGGAGTGTGTCCTGGCCTCCCTCCCTGCTCAGCTCCTCCAAGCTGAGGCATGTACAGCCTTGAACACACCTAACTCCATGCCTCCCTGTGGGCAAACAGCCCCTTTCCAGCAGTCCCTGCAGTTTTCTTTCTCTTCCTCTCTTTTGGGCTTTCTCTTCTGACCGGGCCCCAAGCCCTGTGCAGCCCCTCAGCCCTCAGAGGTCCCAGAAGGAACCACTTTCACTCTCTACTTCTCCCCATGGGCTCCCAGTTCCTCGTGTTACTTAACAAAAACATTTAATAAGGAATTCCATTCTACAGTATTAGGAACGGTATATCCACCTGCCAACCACAGCTAATAATTAGCACGAGTAGACATAAAACCAGTCAAAAGCAAAAGTGTGACTTTGGTCGCTCAGGCAGCCTTGTTACAGGTAAAGGTGTGCTCTGTGTACCAGTTCCTTGAAGTATTGAAAGGTCCTGGGCAGCCCTGACTCCTTCTGCACTTCTAGGGTCTGGGAAGACTCTCTTTAGTTCCTGCACCTACCTGCCCCTCCTCATGCCTTGATGATTTCCTGTCCTGCTCTCGGGGGCGGGGGTGGGGTGGTGGTTGTGGCACGTGCAGGTATTTGAACAGGTGGCAGGAACCCAGCACAGGTCTGAAACTGGGTTAATGCCACACCACCCTGGAGCCATAAGAAAGAATTCCCTAGAGAGTGACATATCCCTCCAGTGGTCTCAGCAGCCCACTTGGTGATCAGGATGTTCCACAAAGATGAGTCATTGCTCTGGGAGCTTGGAGGTGAGTCATTGCTGCCACCACACCACCCCCCGGAGGCCAGCTTTGTCAAGTGCCCTGGAGCTTTTTGGGCTGAGATGCAGAGAGAGCACCAGGTATGATGTCACCGAGTCCCCAGAGCATGGGCAATGCTGAGGGCGATGTGGGAGAGACACCATGGAGGATGGCCCCATAGAGGTCCCAGGGCCAAGGGCGCATCTCCTGAGCGACCCTTGGCAGAGGCTTCAGAATGACCCGGGGAAGAAGGAGAGACTGGAAGTGATGTATGAAAAGGAATGTGGCTGAAGCCTTAATTCTGTGCAAAGAGAAGAGGGAATTGTTGGTGTGCAGAGTTTAGTTCTGTCAGAGATCTGCCTTTGTCTGCAGCCTTGGGAGGTGATCTCTGCGATTTCCTGCCTGTTGGACAGTCTCTGCCTGCCTGAGGCTGACCCACACCAACAGTGTGACTTAGGGTGGGGCTGGCCACATCTGAGAGACCGGCCACATGGGGCTGTGGGTCTTGCCCAGAGGGACTGGACCTCAGATCAGCCATGTGGGCAGTCCATTTATCAGTCGTGGTCACTGATAAGCTTCCCTGATGATAACCACTAACTGTGAGCACAGAGCTCCTGGGAATCTGGGGGCCACTGGGGTCGAGTAGAAACCTTGGGGGGGGGGGGTCTCTCTGACATCCACTTCTTTTTCTTGGCAGGGTTCTGCTGGCAGGCCACCATCACCGGCCCGGTAGGTAGTTGCTGCTGAGCACCACCTCTATGCTTCTTCCCTTGCCGCTTGCTTCTGTGCGCACTAACTGCCTGTCTCATCCTTCCAGAATGACAGTCCTTACCAAGGAGGCATTTTCTTCCTGAACATCCACTTTCCCACAGATTATCCATTCAAACCCCCAAAGGTGAGGCTGGGTCAAAGTGTAATGAAGGGGCCCTTCTGGTCAGTGGTACAGCAAGCTGCACAGTCACAGCCCAAACCTGAGACCCTGGACCATGGGGGCAGTGCTCTGTCTGATTGTAACTACATCTAGCCCTTCTCTGCAATCCCTCTCAATCTCAGCCAGGAGTTCTCAGCCCTGCCCCAGGGACCGTGGACACAGACCGGGGATGTTTGGGCTGTGAAAACAGGTCAGGCGGGGAAGGGGGTTGCTACTGGTTTCTGTAGGGGAGCCCAGGAATGCTGCTCATACTCTGTGGGCTCAGACCTGAGTGTCAGTGGGCTAGGCAGTCTCCTCCCTGCACACACACCATCCCAGCCATGAGGCCTCGGAGGGAGGGCCGCGCCACCAGCCGGAGGGAGAAGGCGGGAGGGTCCTCTCCACACCCTGGCCCAGCAGGAGAACCCATTACTCACCAGGTGGAGCCCTGCCTCTTACGGGAACAGTCCTGTCTGGTGGTCAGTGCCAAGAAGCTCGTCCTGAGCAGGTCAGGGGCCACAGGGTGGGGAGGCGGCCAGAAGGGCCCAAGGAGTTGTGCAATGGGGTGGAGGCAACGGCAGTGGGCACATGAATCTGGGGGGAAGAGTGCGTTTTGGGTGCTCATAGTGGAGCCACCAGGACAGGGGCGGTCACAGCAATGTGTGTGGGTCCACATTATAGATTGTTTATGTATCTGACTGCACAAGTGGTAGATTGATTATTTTAAAATTAGAACCTTGGTGCCATAACCAGTTTGGCTCAATGGATAGAGCATCAGTTCGAAGACTGAAGGGTGCCAGCCTTGATTCTATTCAAGGGCACATACCTCAGTTGCAGGCTCCATACCCAGTCCTGGTCAGGGTGTGTGCAGGAGGCAACCAGTCGATCTTTCTCACATCAATGTCTCTCTCTTTATCTCTCTTCCTTCCCCTCCCTTTCTAAAAATCAATAAAAGCATATCATCTTGTAAGGATTAAAAGAACTGGTGCCTAAGCCTCTTACCTAGGAAACTTCTAGTGTGGCTGCCATCCTTCTTGTCGCTCCTCAGAGCCCACTCACTGCTTTGGGGGAAGTGGGTCAGTCCCAAAATCAAAATGAATGAATTAGGACTTCCCTCGGCTGTCCCACCTGAGTCCTGTCAGGGTTCAAGGTGGGGACCCAGCTCACCCAGGACCATGTGGCCAGCATCGGCCTCTTCTTCCTGCCTCGGTCCATGTTCCATACACTGTCTAGAGCATTCCTGTAGCCTGTCTCACTTGAGGTCTTGTCTCTGCAGGTTGCTTTCACGACCAAAATTTACCACCCCAACATCCACAGCAACGGCAGCATCTGTCTCGACGTCCTGCAGTCCCACTGGTCTCCATCACTGACAGTGTCGGAAGGTAACCTCACAGGTCCTGTCCCATGCTTGTGGCTCCCACAGCAGCCCTTCTGCCCCCACATCCCTGGTTGGAGACTGAGGCTCAGAGACAGCAGGCAGCTTCCCACAGCTCCTAGTGGAGGAATTGGGAGACGCAGTTCCCACCCCGATCAAGTCCACAGGGTTCGGTTGCCTACATGAGGTTATAGAGACCCAGTCTACAGGGGGCTTCAGAAATGCAGATATTCCTTCGGAACCTGAATGTAAACGATATGAGTGTCCTGTCAGTGGAGTGGGTGGGATGGTAAAAAAAAAAATATTAGACAGAGAGAAACAGGGTCCCAGAGCCCAAGAAATAAGCAGAGGGGTGTGTGAGGCAAAGAGGGCAGCAGAGCCTGACAGGCAGCCGAGGAGAGGGGAGGGGAGGGGAGGCACGGGCAGCTGGAGGGCCAGGTTTTCAAGCTGAATGGTGAATACAGAAGGAAATCTGCCACCCCCCTCCCATTCCAGAATGTTCCGAGTTCCCATATCCTGATTAGCAAACAGGCCCCTGGGAATACACACCAAAAATCTGTGGCAACGGGGGCCTCCCCGGAGCAGCTGTGTCTGGGACAGCTTGGTTCAGCTGATAGATGAGCAGAACAAATCCTTTCATGACTTTTGGGGTGCCAAGCAGAATAATTCAGACGGAAGAGAGCTTGAGTTGGGGGGCTCACCAGATCCAGGCAACCAGGCAGCCTCAAGGCTGACCCAGCTCCTCTTCTCTTCCCAGTGCTCTTATCCATCTGTTCCCTGCTCTGCGAGCCCAACCCTGACGACCCTCTGGTGCCAGAGATAGCTCACACCTACAAGGCCAACCGAGAGAAGTACGCGTCCTCTTCGGGCTCCTTTGGGCCTCAGCGGTACCCACCCTGACCTGGTGCCTCCTAGCGGACTAGGTTCCCTCAGACGTTTTTCTGCCCTGCCCAGGGCATGCGGGGGTGCAGAGGGTGTCCCTTGGCTCAGACTCCTGACTCTCTCATGAACATTCCGTTTGGCTCTGAGAAAAGGGAGGAGATAAAAGCAGGTTACCCTCCTTGGTTGCTCATCAGCTGCTGCCACAACACCCTAAACTTTTTTTTTTTTTTAAGAGGTTTTAAAGCTAACACCTTAATTTTAATGGAGAAAGGGGGCATGCCCTTCCCACCCAGAACAGGTCCACCCTAAACTCTTGAGGTCAGCCGAGTCGTGGTCAGCCAAGAATGATCTCAGAAGAATCTGACAAGAAAATGCTGGATTGCATTCTAAATTTGATAGCATAGGACAGTGGCTTCTCAGATATGCCAGGGTAAGGCAGAGGCGTTCTGATTGAGGCTCAGTAGTCAGCAGTGTGTCACCCTCATGGCCAGCCCTATTTCATTTTATTTTTTTTAGATTCCTCATATAACTGAGATTATATGGTATTTGTCTTTCTCTGACTTATTCACTTAGTGTAATACCCTCCAGGTTCATCCATGTTGTCACAAATGGCAAGATTTCATTATTTTTTATGGATGAGTAATATTTCCTTATACATACCACCCCTTCTTTATCCAGGCATCTATTGATGGATACTTAGGTTGCTTCCATATCTTGCTCTTATAACTAAATAGAGGCCCAGTGCACAAATTCGTGCATGGGTAGGGTCGGCTGGCCTGGTCCAGATCAGGGCAGATCAGGCTGGGCCTGTTGGGAGGAGGAGACGGTAGGAGGTTAGCTGGCCAGTCTGTCCCAATCCGGGCTTAATCAGGGGCTGCAAGAGATTGACCCCTGACCCCACACACTATCAGGCCGGGTTCACGGGCAGTAGTGAGTATCATAGTAATTGGTCATTACAGTCATTACAGCATTCAGGTTGCTGGATTTTTCTATATATATAGATGCTGCCATGAGCGTAGGGATGCAAATCTCTTATTTATTTATTTCCCCACTTAACCGCGGCAAAGGCTGAACTGCAGTGCAGACGACAGGTGTTATAGCAAATTTATACTCAGAATCCACAAGAGGGAGTTAGGACAGTTATAATGACAACCCAAAGATTACAAAAACTATTTCAGCGGTTTCCAAGAAACTGAGGGCACAGGTGCAACGCCTGGACACGCTTGGCCGGAGCGTGAACCACCACCTCCCTCCAACTTCAACCGACCCATTGTTTGGTGACCTACTCTACCTCCCTCTGTCCCAAGGCATCCTGCCTCCAGGCAACGGAGGAGCTGTGCAAGGTTTACAGCCCAGAACATGACAGTCTTTACCCCACTGTATATCCTTGCCTTCTCAACTCTGTTTAAACACTGATGACCAGACCCAGAGTTGTAGAACTGCACCCATTAGACTAGTGTAATCATGTGCACTGTAGACTGGAAGGTGTCTTTGAGGGGAAGCAGATAGAGAAAAGGACTGGGCCCTCACCTCCCCATGGGAAAACCTCTGGCATTGACAGTCTGCTGAGAAAGGGCCAGCCTGGTGAGGCCCTGGCCTCAGGAGCCTGGCCTGTGAGCAGTGCACCGTGTGAAGGTAGGAGGAGGGTGTGGTGGTAGGAGGGTGGGATGATTGCTGGCTCTTTTAAAAAATGTCTCCAGTGACTCTTTAGCAGTTCTGAAGAGATTAGAATGGAATGATATTTTTTCAGCTTACATTAATCTTGAAAGCTTTATAGATATCATTATTTCCCTCAGTGAGTTTTCCAGAATTACAAAGACATTTTTAATTGACTAGATTATAAACTGCATTTACTTATTTTAACTCTTATGAGATACTTTAGAAATACCAAAAGTGTTTTTTTTTTTCATTGCCCTCTAACTAAAAATCTGTCTTACAATCCCAAGGCACTAGATCTCATGATGGTTATGAGAATAAACGTACATGCCGCGTGCTTACATAGCCTTCCATGGGCACCAGGCCTGCTGCATGGCAGGCACAACTCACTCTCTGATGGCCAGGCTCCAAGGCCTGCGTCCTGCACTCTGACTGGGCATCCCCTTTCCTAATCCTCCTCATCGTGTTGTGGGACAGGAGAGAGGAAGAGAGATGGCTGGTGCATTGCCACATCTTCCACAACAGGTGGTTATGGAGAGCATCAGGACTCCCCACGTGAGGAGGCTCTATGCCATAGCCTCGTTCCAGGCAGCTTTGTTCCACTCCGTAGTCCTCCATGTTTGCCAGCAGCAGTGTCCTGCATTAGTTCTGTTCTCTCCTCGACATTGAATGAAGTGACTATTTTGAATAAGCACATCATCTCTCTGCTTTTTTCTTCCAGATACAACAAACTGGCGAGAGAGTGGACACAAAAATATGCTATGTGAGTGCCTTGGAGGTTGCACAAGGGACACTGCTCAAGAGAAGCTGAGCCCCTGGCTGAGCCTCCCATAGGGTGCCATCTCTTCCCCGAGCGAATGAGGGTCCCACCCTTTCCAAGCGCAGCATATTGGTGCCGCTCAGTCCGCGTGGCTTTGACACTGTCCCATCCATCCTGATGCTAAAGCAGTCGTCACCGTTAGATCTGCAGCCTCCTCGCTACCTGGAATCAGTCCCTCCACCTGACTCACTGCTGGACTCCTGGGGGACAGTGTGCTGTCACCTCCCTACCCTGCCCACTCATGGTGGCATCATGGGCCATGGCACCACACAGCCTGGCCCTCACCTTCTGGACTCAGTGCCAACCTGGGCATCCAGGCCAGAGTGGGCAGGCTTTCCTCACATACTGTCTGCCATAGACCACATACCAAGGAGTCTCAGCTCATCCCATAGGCTCCAGGGAATTGGGAATTGTCCCTCACACCGAGAAGCAGCAAACAATGTCGGGGTAGACAGCACAGAACACCCAGATGACTGTCTTCAGAAGTAAGACCTAGAGAGACTGAGGTTTCGCCTTTCCATGGGAAGAGGTTTTTCACCACCTCCCTCCCTCCATGGAGCCTACACTAAGTCCAGTGTGTGCCACCCACAGACCAGAGCACAGGGGCAGGGAGAGACTTTTAAATGTAAATAAAATGTAATTCACGCATAACCCGAAATGGTAACTGACAGTTGAGTCTACCTTTTTTTCCAGGCAAAACATAAAATATGGAAACTTTTGGCAGGTTCTTTGGAACCTTGAATTACAGCAGCCTGTTGAGTGGTTGGACACCTCATAGTTTCTGGGGTAACAAATTTTAGAGTTCAGAACTTTGAGATTAGATAGAAGGGCAGGCGGAGTGTTCTAATTAAACCTCCTGAGAAGAGAGGAAATTTGAAGGGTTTCAAATCTCTAAAATCAAATCTGACCTAGTGTTTTCTAAGTGGTCCCCTCCAGGACAGCCATAGAAGTAACGGGTGAGTAGAAGCAGAGGATGAAGCATAGAAGTAACGGGTGAGTAGAAGCAGAGGATGAAATGGCCAGGCAGGGCCTGTGCAGGCTGGTGGGATGGAGGAAAGGGGATGGCAGGAGGTGAGCCTGCTCCAGGAGCTCCCCAGTTGTCACACAGCTTCACTGCTGAGGCTCCCTGGGCAGCAGTCTGGGCCCGTCTGCATTTCCTTTGGGGGGTCACCATTCAGAACCACATCTGATATCATAAGCTACTTTGGGGGGGACCAGGGCCCTGTAACCATGGTGAAGATTGCCTTTTTAATTTTTGTCTCTTTGCCACCCCTTTGGTCTTTGCTTAAAACAAAATGTTAAATCTACGGAAACCGGTTTGGCTCAGTGGATAGAGCGTCAGCCTGCAGACTGAAGGGTCCCGGGTTCGATTCCAGTCAAGGGCACGCACCTTGGTTGCGGACACATCCCCAGTGGGGGGTGTGTAGGAGGCAGCTGATCAATGTTTCTCATCGATGTTTCTAACTCTCCCTCTCCTCTATGTAAAAAAATATATTTAAAAAAATTAAAATCTTCATAGGAAAATGACATTAGCATAACCCCTGGGAAGGCTATCAGACAATGGTCAGTGCACCTTAGCCAAGTGTCATAAGCACAGGAAGTGGGGCAGGTGCATGTTTCAGAGAGAAGTCAGGATCAGAGGGGAAATCCCAGCCCGACCTGGTGTTGAGACTGGGGGTCCATACTGATCTTGAGGCTTCCTTGCCTCCCTTTGGGTACCACAGACAGACCTCAGGCCAGGAGTTCTGCAGACCTGTAACAGTGTAATAGGACTCCCAAAAGCTGGTGAATTCCTGAGTTCCTTCAAAATTCCCCTCATCTACTGTCTCTGTTGGAGAAATGGTGGAGAAAATGAAATCAGTCATTTAGGATCCCAAGTGCAAGTTGCTGCTGTGGAGTTCCCATGTAACCCCTGTGTGCAGACATCCCGTTTCCAAGGTGTGACTCAGGTGGGCAACTGGACAGCAGATCCAGAAAGCCAACTGGGAGGTAATGTGGCTTTTTTTCCTCTGTGGATCAGAGACATCAGGGAGATACATGACCTTAAGTAATCGATCCACCGTGAACAAGTGACTATTAACTATGGCCGGAAGCACCTGAGTTTGGGGGATAGCGCTGAGATCGTGATCCTCTGTCAGGCTCCAGGAACTCAAAGGAATATGGCAAAAGGTCACAACCTCCTGACCAGGGATAAAGTATTGATGCAAACATCCCTGGCCTCAGAGCTCAGAGCTGAAACTGTCCCACCACCTCACTGCAGATGCTTAAGGGGTCAGGTTTCTGTGAAATTCAAGAGTTTCCTTAAGTAGGCCTCCTGGCCAGAGGTCTGCCTATGGTACCCAAAGGGAGGCAAGGAAGCCTCAAGATCAGCATGGATCCCCTGGTCTCTCCAGCCCCCAGACCCTCCTTCCCGTGCCTTTTATCACTGTAGCACACACTTCCTCCCCAGCAGTGCTGGACAAGGCTGGGCCTGGATTAGACCTAGTCATGAATGCAGGTCCTCTGGAAGTGGAGGGAAGGCAGCCAACGCCCATGACGGCAGGAATGCTGGCCTTGCCGTCCCTACCACCCAGGTTTCTCCCTGTTGACAGGTTCAGTAATAATAAAATCATAAAACTATAAAGAATCTGCAAAACCTATCAGACTATATAGCAGCTTAAGTCTCCTTAAAATGTCACCTTCCTTTCACCCCTTCTCCCAGACCTCCACTCCCCACCTTCTTCAGGGCAAGGGTTTGTGTGGCCATTTCTGCATCCGAGTCAGGTGCCCAGCAGTGAAGGCCTTCATTCTGAAGCAGGAAGGACTGATGGATTTGCTGACATTTTTGGTTAAAATGGCAGCAAAGTTGTGATGTCCTGTATGTCCTGTTCCTCCTTGCAGTTTCTGCTGGCTCCTGGAAGCCCACACTTGACAGCAGGAAGCTGATCTGAGGCTTCAGGCAAGACCTGAGAAGCCAGAGACCCTCAAGGCAAGAGGGTAGGTGGCGGGAGGGCCTTCACCCTCCTGTGAGCCATCTTGTCCTGGATGGTGGCTGCACTCAGCCCTAAAAGAGGAGGCCCTGCAGCCACTGCCCCCAGAAGGCCTGAGTCCCAGACCAAGGCCAGGTCTGCAGTCCGCCCTCCTCCTACCTCTGTTCAAACCCACAGGGACTCAGTGAGGTTTTCTTAATCTCTCAAACTGTTAGGCATTTGTTCACTGGCCTCCACTTCCCATGCAGCATAAACTCGGTTTCTTTTTAGGGCAATGGTTCCATTTCTCTAGCTTTGTAGTACTGAGGCCACGTGGGGCCGGAACAGATGCAATCCTGGTGGTTTTAGGAAAATGAGTTTCGTAGTCACTGTGTTTCTGTGGATGCGTACTTTGAACACACAGCTACCCTTTCTGATTGGTTGCTTTGGTCTGAATGCCTGTACCCCCCCGCCGCCCCCCAAGTGCCCACGTAGAAGTGTTAACACCCCCCACCCCACGCTGTTAGGAAGTGGGGCCCGCGCTCCCAGAGTCGCGCGGCCCCGCCCACTTCCCGCTGGGGCGGGGCTTTCCAGCGGGATGGGCGGGCTTCCGGCCGCGGGGGCGGGGCGGGCCCGGAAGCGGCGGCGCTGGGACGAGCCGGGCCATGGCTGCGAACCTGAGCCGAAACGGACCGGCGCTGCAGGAGGCCTACGCGCGCGTGGTCGCCGAGAAGTCCCCGACCGACTGGTGGGCGCCGGGCCGGGCCGGGGCGGGAGCCGGGGCGGAGCCGCGCGGGTGGGAGGGCTCACCTGGGCACCCGCACCTGCTCCGCGCCCGGAGATGGTCCGGCCCGAGCCCGCTGCGTGCGCCTGGTTCTCCCTACCCTCCCTCCCCTCCCCTCGGCCTGGCTCTCCGGCCGGACTCCGCGCTGGCTGCGCTCGGGGCTGCGCCGAGTTCTGCTTTGCAGCCGGGACCTCCCAGCCCCTGAGAAAGCGGAAGCCACGCCCGGCTTCTTGCAAATGTTGAGTCCCCGCCGGGCCTCCCAGGGCGGCTGGCGGCCCGGCGGGACCGGAGCCCTCCCGAAGGCATCAAACAGGGAGGTCGGAGGTTGGGTCTCTGCTCTGTGCACGTAGGTGTCAGCACCCCCCTTTCTGCAAAGAGACCCTTCCTGTGCGAGCCCAGGGGAGAGGACTGCCTGTCGATGCTGCTGCCACCCTGCTCACCCCCCATCTCCGCCCCTCACCCCCCAACCCCCACCTCCGGTGACTTCCTCTGCGAGGCGGCAGCTCCTGAGGTTGGGGCTTCATGGCCCCTGGAAGCCTGGTCCGAGGCTCTGGGTGACTGGGCAGCCCCCCGGCTTACACTGTTTCCCGGACTGGTTCTGGGTAGATCCGGTTAGAATGCCAGCTGCGGCGGCTAAGAGGCCCCTCTTCCGGGAGGCCTGCTGGGTGTAGCCGTGCTGCTGGACCGGTCTTCACATGTCACGTGCTGCTTCCTCCTCGCTGCCCCACCTGGTGCCCAGCAAAGTGGCTTCACACAGCCTGACTGCAGCCCTCGCCGGTCCTCCCGGTTAGGGCTTTGCTCCTTTGCGCTCGGGTGCAGCCCTGACTGATTTACCTAAAGGACTCTCGGGTGTCCTATGGGCCTTCCAGATCTCTGTCCTCAGTCTTCTCAGCGACTGTCCCTGCTTTGGAGATGATGCAGTTCAGGGATCCCTCTCCAGGCCTCCCATGTTTCAGCCTTTCCTTGAGCTTCTTCCCAGAGCTGCCTGCTACCCCCCTGCCCCACCCCTGAGGGTGCCAAGCTTCCTCTTCTAATCAGTCAGAACCCATCCATCTCACCAGCCTCCTCACCCCCAACACCCCCCCCACCCCCAACACCCCCCCGCCCCCACCCATGGGGCTCCAGTGGCTGCCCCTGGCCTCTGCCCTCATTGTCAACAGATACTGTGTGGCAATTCCCCACTCGCTGAAGTTGCTTCCCTGCAGTGACTTCCGCTCATTAAATAAAGCCCAGTCTCCAGCCTGACTGACAGACCCTGACTGCCCAGCTCCTGGCCTCCACTCTCAGGGCCCTTCTGTTGAACCCACTATACACCTCTTTTTCTCTTCCTCAGACTTACAGACCGGTCCCTCCACAGAGGCTGCCTCTTCTGCTGGGAGCACCCCCTTCCACATCATCCCAGGGCCCCCCCAAAGTGGTTCTTAGCTCCCCAATGGCCTTCTTGCAGGGCTTCCTCATTGCCTCAGCCCTGGCTATGGTCCTATTTTCCCAAATTCTCCAGACCCATCCAGGCATCTCACTGGTTTTGTGTGGCCTTTCTCTCATCAAAGGAACAGCAGGTGGGCCCTGTCTGTCCCGGGTGCAAGGCTGTGGTGTGGTCAGTGCTCAGGAGGAGGGTGGAATGAGGGAGACAGGAAAGTAGTATCTGAGCAAGAAGAGGCGGTTCGCAGACTGGGGGACCCTGGGCCAGGCCTGAGGCCTGTGGGGACATCAGCTCTGCTCCTTGGCTCTCTCTTGGTTCTCCCTGGTCGTTCTCCCCAGATCACAGCCTGGATCAGCTCCTGCACCCCTCCTCCTGGCAGTGCTCGTGCTGCTGTGTGCTCCTCTCTGAGGCTTTCTTGTGGCTCCGTTCCCATACCAGCAGCAGCAGGTCCTATGTGTGTTTGGAAGAAAGGGCTGGGTTATAAGGTGTCAGTGCCCCACGCTTCATGTGCCATGAGCAGGCCAGGAACCCTCTTCATGTTCATCAGAAAGAAGGGGGACCTGATGGAATGTGGGAATGAGCTTCTGAACTGGAACATCTGAGAATGGCTAAGGCTGGGGCCCAGGGTGAGAAGCAGTGAGGCCAGAGGACAGGGCGGACACGGAGTCTGGCTCCTGGGAGCTGCTGTCCCTTCTTGGAAGAGCCCGCTGGGCAGCCATCGCTGTCCCTGCTGCTTGTCTGTGCCGCTGACTTCGGTGGCCTTAGGGGGAATGGGGTTCTCCTCTGATGGAGGGGACGTGCTAGACCCTTTGACTTGCTGTCCCACAGCACGGCCTGGAGCTGTGCTCCTGCAGAGTTGGTGCTGGTGGCTGCGTGGCTGGGAAGCCGCCTCTTCCAGAATGTTCTCCTAGAGGTCTACCACCTCCCAGGTCTTCTTTGTCTCTGTTTCTCTCCTATATTCTCTCTCCTCTCCTAGGAAGCTTTGTTCCTTCCTGGCAGCCTGTCCTCCCTGTCAACCAGATCCACTGGGCCTGGATCGAATTTCGTTTCCTTCACTTTCTTGGGTTGAGGCAGCTCTGCCCAGTGGTGTTCGCAAGGCTGTGGGGAGCCGAGCGGGAGCTGATTTGGTTCCTTCCCTCAGACTGTTTGCCCTGGCGCACGGTCCATCCAGCTGGCTCCGGAGTCTTCCATAGATATCCCTCATTGAGTAAAATTTACCCTATATCCTAAACACCTCTGGGGCACATGTTATTAAGTCCAAATCGGGAAGACTCTGGTTGGTCTAGATCTTGCCCCACAAGGAGCCTGTTCCCTGCGGACCGGGTGCCATGCCGAGTCGTGACCCCTCTGGTTTCTGGTGCCGCACATTTTTGTGAGGGGAGTCCCAACCCAGACAGACCTGCTGCATCACCCTGCGGGCAGACGTGCCAGTTCTTCCTTCCTGCTGCTCTATGCTTTGGATTCAGGAATGTGCTGGTATCTGTCTCTTCAAATTCACACACCTGGCAGCCAGGGGGTACTTCACACGTGCAAGTATCAGAGGCTGCCATGACACCGTAGCCTCAGCTTCCTCAGGGTGGGTGGATGCTCCCGTCTTCGGTCTGTCACCACATGCCCTGTGGTCAGGCAGGCCAGCGTCGTTGCAGTTCGGAGCTGAGAAGGTGGGCTCCAGCAGGCACAGTGGGTCACGGTGGGGCCCGTGCTGGCCCACAGAGACTGTCGTGCTGAGCAGTTGGGGATGAGGGCAGACAGTGCCCACGGTTGTCTACAGCGCCCCCTGCTCTGTTTCAGGGCTCTCTTTACCTATGAAGGCAACAGCAATGACATCCGCGTGGCTGGCACCGGGGGTGAGTATGGCCAGGGGGTCCCGGAGGGAGGGCGAGGCGGTGGAGGGAGAGTGGCTGTCAGGGCCCCAGCCCCGGTGATATCTCAGCCCTCCCAGGAGGAGGAGGGCTCGGCAAGCAGTTCTCTGGCCCCTGATCAGGCAGGATGGGGATTTTGGCTCCTGATCAGGCAGGATGGGGATTTTGGGGGTTGTCAAGTGAAAGTAAGCCCTCCTCCACGTTCTCGGCCTGAGGTGCCGGGCAGGGCTGCCCTGTGTTGTAGCTGAGAGAGCTCACGGGGGCCCGGGCTGGGGGAGGGGGGCAGACGCACTTTTCCCTCCACCCCATCTGATGGGTCAGGGTGACCTGGAAAAGTGCTGCTGGCATGCAGTAGGTGGGCGGTCTGTAAGGAGGTCTCCCCTGGCTGGAGCCAGTGGGAGCAGGGCGAGCTGCGGCCACTGGAGGTGCCAGGCTTCGTGTGCTCAAGGCCAGCTCCCCAACCTGGGCCAGGCACAACTTTACCCCCAGCGGCTGGTTCTGAGGGTTTGTTGGTAGAGAGTCCCGCTCTCTCTCCAGCACCTTCTGCACGGCCACGGCTCTTTCTAGAAGGACTGCACTGTGGTGGCCTCCTGCACTGGGTGCCCATGGCGCTGGGGTGCCACAGGCGACAGCTGCAGTTTAGCGGTTGAGCCCCTCTTCACAGTCGGGAGGTGTGCAAGGAGGTTGAGAGCCAAATCCTGGCACATGGTGGGCCTCGGCCTCGAGGTCCAGAGAGAACATCCCAGGCAGCCCTTCCGCCCTGTCACTTCCTGTGAGCATCTCAGAGCAGAGCCTTGAAGGTGGTCTGTCTGCTCACAGCCCTCCAGGTGGCCCTTTGCAGCCACGTGGGTAGGGCCCTTTGTGAGGTCCAGAAAAGAAGGGAGGTACAGGGAGAAACAGAGAGAAACCCATCGGTGGGTTGCCTCCTGTACAAACCCAGAACAGGCTGCAGATTGAACTGCTACACAGGTACATGCCCTTGACCAGGAGTCAGATATGTGACCATTCAGTGCACAGGCTGGCACTCCCAGCTGCTGAGCCGCACCAGCCAGGGCTCATTTCTACTTTACAAAGGGGTGTTTACGCTAGTGCGATAAAAGTCACTGGCATCTCGTCAGCCTAGTCCTGCATCGGCCTGCTGGCCCTTCAGACCAGGATCTCGCTCTGATGCAGGAGGCAGCTTGGCCTTCCTTTCCTGCTGGGTGGGTGCTGGGGTGCCTGCTGCCTGTGACCCTCCTGTGCCTGCTGCAGAGGGGGGCCTGGAGGAGGTGGTGGAGGAGCTCAGCAGTGGGAAGGTGATGTACGCGTTCTGCAGGGTGAAGGACCCCAACTCTGGACTGCCCAAGTTTGTCCTCATCAACTGGGTATGTGACACCTGGGCTCGGGGCTCGCCTAGGTGTGAGGAGGAAGTGCTCTCCCTCCTGCTCCGAGTCCCTGGAGCAGAGGGTTCACAGCAGAGGGCTAGCTCACTGTGGCCCAGAGACCCTCACTCCCCCCAGTCCAGAATCGCTCCTACGGAATGAAGTGCCAGCAGCCCCAGGCACCCTGTTCTCTGCCCTGGGAGCTGAGGGCTCGGAGAGGCCGGGGAGGCTCTGGGAGGGCAGGGCGGGACTTGGGGATTTCCCGTGCCCCACAGTGGAAGCTGCCCCAACAGCCCGCCAAGTCCCTAGGAGGGCAGTGGCTCTAGGGAACAGGCGGGTCATGCTGGGCGTGTTGTGTTGCAGACAGGCGAAGGCGTGAACGATGTGCGGAAGGGCGTGTGTGCCAACCACGTCAGCACCATGGCCAGCTTCCTGAAGGTGAGCCTGCCCCTGCAGGGCCCCCGTTCTTCAGGCCCCCCCAGGTGTGTGGAGGGCGCAATGGGACCCACAGCCAGAGTGGGAGGTGTGCCCACTTCCTGCTCTGTCTGAGCCTCAGGGTGTGACCGAGGCTGCTCAGCGAGGGCCTAGGGCTTCTTCAGGGGAGGCGGGGCTGAGAACTGCGAGGAGCACTGTGCGGGCGGGAGCACCATGTGGGCGGGAGCTGGTCCTGGCAGGCCTTGCTCCTGCCGGCCTCCTGAATGCTGTGAACGGGACCTGGCCATGTTGCAGGGATCTGAGGAGGCGGGGATTGCAGTGCCCACACATGTCCCCCATGACTGGTTTCCATCTGTGTCTGTGTCAGTCATAAATGGAACCTCTATAGTTTCAAATGCATTTGTTTCTGAGGGTCAGGTGACTGCGTTTCCTTGGTCACTGTCAAGGAGACTGGGACTTTGATTTCCAGTTCTGTCAACACTGCCTCAGCTGTGCCTCCATTTCTCCAGCTAGGAGCTGGAAGAGAGAGTCACTGGGTGTTTGGTGGCAGGCAGAGGCCATAGCCTGGCCTCTCCGTAGTTGGTGGTCGTGTAGGAGATGTGTGCTGGTTTCTGCACGTCTATCAGGGCTGATGTCCCTGATGAGAAAGAATCCTCTGATGTCTGAGCCATCTGCTCAAGGCTGAGCCACAGGACACGCTTTGGCCACAAGGGCCTCCCGCACGAGCAAGACGGGTCCCAGCCTGCAGACAGACATGCATTTCGCCCTGGAGCTGCAGCAGCTGTCCTTACTGCAGGGCGCCCACGTGACCATCAACGCAAGGGCTGAGGAGGACGTGGAGCCTGAGTGCATCATGCAGAAGGTGGCCAGGGCCTCAGGCGCCAACTACACATTCCACAAGGAGAGCAGCCGCTTCCAGGACACGGGCCCTCAGGCCCCAGTGGTGAGTTGGGCTAGGACCGTGGGTGGGGGCATTCCCAGTGACCAGATGCTGCCTCGGCCTCAGCACCTGACCCTTCAGGCTGTCTCCTCCTGCCTGCCTGGTCTCAAGGCCACAGCACCAGTGTGCTCCGTGTGGTGGCCGCCATGGGAGGAACAAGGGGCAGACAGGGCAGGCCCCTCCTAGTCGGGCAGATGCCTGTGGGCCTGTGGCCTTGGTGCTGGGTGGGGGTCCATGGGGATGTGGTGGGCCCTGCCATGGTGGTCAGCTGCCTGCGCTGGTGGGCTATCCTCCTAGGAATGGCCCCTGGCCAGAGGTAAGCCCTCAACTTGCCCTGAGGGCCTGGTGCAGCCAGAGACCCGCCCTGCTGTGTGGCTACACCCCCTGCTCAGCACTGTCCAGGCCTCCTTCGGGCACTGGGCCGGGGACACTGTGTCTGCCGGGTGCTGTCCTGACTGGCCCTACGCTCTGTCCCCGTCCCCACAGGGCTCCGTGTACCAGAAGACCAATGCTGTGTCAGAGATCAAGGGGTTCAGCAAAGACAGCTTCTGGGCCAAAGCGGAGGTGAGTGCTGCCGGCGCGGCGATCGGGGCGTCTGTGGAGCGTCCGGTGTGTGCCAGGTGTGGAGTGAGCATGGCGCTCTCTGCCGGTTCTCTCATAACAAGCTCCTAGAAGCATGTGGGCCAGGCATGGTGTGGTGAAGGCCCGGGGGACTGAAGGGCGGGGGACAAAAGGGGCACGTCTGTAACACTTTCAACAATAAAGACAAATTAACCAAAACCTGCGAGGTTGTTGTCGGTGCCGAGGCACCGATGGCCCCAGGGCTAGTGGGTCCGGGAGAAGGCTGGAGCCGCGCTGGTCGGGCTGAGCGCGCTCCCTGCAGGAGGAGGAGGAGCAGCGGCGGGCCCAGGAGCAGCGGCGGGCGGCGCAGGAGCGGCAGCGGCTGGAGCAGGAGCGCCGGGAGCGGGAGCTGCGGGAGGCCGCCCTCCGGGAGCAGCGCGACCGGCAGCAGGGCCAGGAGGCCAGGCAGAGGTGAGCCTGGGGAGATGGGGCTGCCCGGGGTCAAAGGGCAGAGGCTCAGCGCTGCCCTCTGCCCTTCCAGCAGGAAATATGAGCAGCAGGAAGTGGTTGAGAGGAGCAAAGAGGAGCAGGTGAGGGGTGCTCACACTGAAGGGCCCGTCCCACACTGGGTGGAGGCCGTCCACTGTGAGCTGCCCTGCAGGTGGGGTCCGGGGACGTGTGGGCGCACCTCACCCCGTCCTGGGGAGGCTGTGAACCCCAGTGCTGTGGGAGGAGGGCAGGCTCACGGTTCCCGCTCACCCTGGGGCCATGCGTGTCCCCAGGAGCCTGGTCATCAGTCACCTTGGGAGATGTTCATGCAGAAGGAGAGAGCCGTGTCTACCGCACCCACCTCCAGCCCCCAGCCAGGTGAGACTTCTCTGTGCCTGGCCCTGCCCTGAACAGGGCTAGGCGAGGGCATGCAGGGACGAGTGGGCCAGGAGCACCTGCGCGTGAGGACGGCGTCTGCCCTGACCTCCTGCAGAGCCAGGCCTGGAGGAGAAGATGGGGAGCCCTGGCCCCGTGAGCCCTGGCAGAGGTCACACTGGCTGTCAGCTGGGTCCCAGGGGCCCACACAGTCACCTCTCTGGCCCCGAGAGGACACAGGACTAGTCCTCCAGTCTGCTCTCCTCTCCCACACTGCACTGTCTCCCAGGGGCTACTGGGAGACAGTCCCGTTCACTCCTGGTGGGTGGGCAGGGCTCGGAGAGGGCAGGGTTGTGCTCTCCTCCCGCTGTGAGTCCGTTCACCGTCCATTTGCAGGCAAACTGCGGAGCCCCTTCCTACAGAGGCAACTCCCCCAACCAGAGAGCCCCCTCAGCGGGGAGAGGGCACACGCCGCCTCCAGGCCCAGCGCAGGCAAGGCTCTCGCCCACCCCGGGGGTGGGCTGGGGGGAGACGGGGTGTCCTCTCCCTCCCCGGTCCGAGCCGGCTGCACCGCTCTTGCAGGTGTCTGTGAGCAGCCAGCGCCCAGTGCCCCTGCGTGCCCGGTGCAGGCGGAGGAGGAGGCCGTGTACGAGGAGCCACCAGAGCAGGAGACCCTTTACGAGGAGCCCCCCATGGTGGGTTCCCTGCAGCTGGGTCAGGGCTGCGAGGGCCTGGGCCCCGAGACAGCTTCCCCAGCCACACCTGGGGGGCTCACTGCCTTGTTTAAATGTGGAGCCACGTGTGCAATAAGTCGTGTGGCGTGCGCCGGCACCTGGGAGGCTCTGGGTGGGGAGCACGTAGGGGAGCCAGGACCCTGACTTCCTTCCGGTCCGTCAGGGGGAGCAGCAGGACCCTGACTCTGTGCACCTGGACCACGTCCCCGGGCTGAGCGGAAAGGGGCTGTGTGCCCGGGCCCTGTACGACTACCAGGCAGGTACGTGCCAAACCGCTCGCCACAGGCTCCTCGGGCAGCCCCAGGGGGTCGGGATAAAGGAGGGCGCAGTACCTCTGGGTACTGGCAGCTCCTCACCACAGCGTGGCTCCCTGTCCAGCTTCATGGTGGAGCTGAGGGGGTGGCTGAGTGGTGGCTCTGGGGTGGCCTCGGGGAGCGGGCAGATGTGCGGGAGGAAGTGCTATCTCAGCCTTGGCTGGGACGGGCCGGAGCCAGGCTCCAGGGAAGGTGTGTGTGGAGAGGCCCCTGGCACAGTGTCTGGACGGTGGCTGTGCCTGGGCCCGGGCTCCCAGTGCAGCTCCGGGCTCCCCTCCTTTCAGCTGATGAGACCGAGATCTCCTTCGACCCCGAAAACCTCATCACGGGCATCGAGGTGATCGACGAAGGCTGGTGGCGCGGCTACGGGCCTGACGGCCACTTCGGCATGTTCCCTGCCAACTACGTGGAGCTCATCGAGTGAGGCTGCCTGTGCCTCGTCCCGCCCATGTGGCCTCGCTGCTGGAGGTGGCGGCGTGACACTTCGCCCTCCCCCGTTTCCGGCGTGGCCGCAGATGCAGCAATAACCCGGTGGTTCCCACACGCTTCTAGCCGCCTCGCAGCAGGGGCCTCTGCCTTTCCTGTTCCCTGCAGCTCGGAGGGGTGGTGGGGGAGCCGTGGACTCAGCGGCTCATGTCCAGTTGGTCCCAGCAGCTCTGGTGGCGGAAGCTGGTCTGGGTCCTGCTCCTCTGTCACCTGCCTGGCTCTGGGCACGGGGGTGGGACAACAAGGCCCCTGAATCCCTGGGCGCAGCGGCAAACACATCTGTGCTCAACTCTTGCCTGCTGGCCCTGTGGGGACACCTGCTGTCTCCCCGTCCCAGAACCTTCCCCCTCTCCCCCATTCCTGGAGTCAGCACTGCCCACCCAGGCCCCAGCTCTGATGCCGTGACAGCCTGGCGGCCCCGGGTGAAACCCACCCTCCTGGTGTCTGGGAGTGCGTGTGCACCTCAGGCTGCCAGCTACAGCCACCTGAACGAGGCATAAAGATTAAGATGTGACCGATGTTTCTCTCTCTCTCTCTCTCTCTCTCTCTCTCTCTCTCTCTCTCTCTCTCATCAATAAAAAACAAAAAAAGATTAAGGTGTGAGCCTCCTGCACTGTTCACTGGGTGGGTAGAGGCCTGCCTTGTCCCCTCTATGGGCCTGTGCCCAGATGGGGCTGTGTGTGTGCGAGTGCGAGTGTGTGTGTGCAGTGAGGCGCCTGGCACCCGGTGACATGGGGAGGGCCTACTTCCCTGTGTGCCCTGGGAGGAGGCTGTGCTGAGGAGGCCAGGGTGGAGGCAGGTGGCCACCCTGTGTGCCCTTGGGCAGGCCAGGCTGCATGCAGGCCTTGATTTCTCTCCCACAAAGATGATGGTGCCCCCCACCCCCAGCTGTGGCCCTGTGAGTCAGGTTCCAAATTTTGAGGCCATCTGTGGGCAAGTCCCCAGACAAGGGGACTCGCAGGCAGGGGACTTGTGGACCACAGAGAACAAGCGTCTGAAGGGAGCCGGCCAGGTCAATTAGCTGCCTGGAGCCAAGTGACAAGCGGGTCTTTTGCTTTGGGAGCCACCACAGGGACTTGTTAGAGCCTCCTCCCGGCCAGGGATGGGGGTCAGGTCCCCCCACAGCGTGTGTGCATCTCGGCCCCGAGTGAGCGCGGGGCACGTGGACACGAGGGGGGGGAGAAGCCTTTATTGCCAGAGCGACGCTTCACTTGGCCTTGCCCTGGGCAGCCACAGCCTCCATGGCCTTGCGAACAGTCTCCTCGTCACCCAGGAACTTCATGGGCTTGGTGGGCTTCAGGGTGTGGTCCAGCTCGTACACGATGGGGATCCCCGTGGGCAGGTTCAGATCCATGATCGCCTGGTCCGACATCCCTGGACGGGAGGAACCAACGGCCTCAACCCTCCCGGTCTGTCCACCAGCCGCTGACCTTTCTGAGCCAGGGCTGGTCGGCAGACACGGCCTCCCTGCCAATCGCAGGGCTGGAGAATGTGCCCGAGAAGGTCAGAGCAGACCGGAGAGGAGGCTACAGAAATAGCCGGCAAAACCAAGGGCTGTGTCCTGGGCCAATGCCCGGTCTCGGCCCAGTGTGGACTCTCCAGACGGCCGATGCTTAGTTCAGCGGGGACATTAGCCATTTGTTTCCGGGAGTGCTAAGCTGGGGCTTCCAGAGCAGGGGAGCAGTGGTGCTGCTACCCAACAGGTGGGTGACAGGGTGGGTGAGGAACAGCAAGGGGTCACTGGAGCCACAGTGGGCAGAGGTTCTGCCAGGCGGAAGGCTGTGTTTTATGAGGAAACTCGACCCAACTGCCTCCCGCCTGGAATAGCTCGCCCTTTGGTATTTCCACTCCCAGGAAGCGAGGAGCAGGTTCCCGGCATGGAGACCCCGGCATGCTCCCGGCATGCTGGCACGAGGAGGCACCGTCTGCCTGTCTGCTAGGCTCAGTGCCTACTGAGGGGTCTGCCCACCTGGCATCCCAGGCAGAACAGGAGCTGGCCAGGCCTCCGGCCGGCCTGTCTGCTGGGGCAGTGGCCCACCACCCCACCTGCCTTCCTCTCTTCTTGAGCCCAAACTCGAAGGATCAGAGGCTGACAGACTGTCCCACTGCCTGGAACTCCGGAGGGCCGGGTCCTGTCAGGGCGCCCGGAGGAACCGCCATGCGCTGCGTCGGGAGCCTGGCTGTGAGCTTGGGGTTTCCAGGCCGTGCACACCTGCACCCTTCTGTGTGGCCTCACCTCTGCCTGAGTGGGCAGGGCTTTGCCCTGGGCCCTCACGAGCAGCCACAGTGCAGGTGTTGTCCCAGAGGGTGGCTGAGGCCCAGCAAGTGACACGACTGGACCAGGGACACCCGGCAAAGCAGGGTTTGGAGCCAGAGGGCCCTGCTTTTCCTGGCGTGCTCCTGGGCAAGATGCCACCCCAGCACCCACCTGCCCAAGGCTCATGTCCAGGAAGCTGGGGGTCTGGGGCCTCAGCCCCGTGCAGGGCCTGGCCTGGTCAGAGTGGGAAGCCTTTCCACCTTCAGTCTTCAAAAGGAAATGACACCGTGTCCCAGGACATGCACAGAAATGAAACCAAAATCCCACAAAGCTGTCTCCTACATGGTGTGTCCAACCCTCCCCGTCCAGCGCCGTTGGAAAACCCCTCCCTGTGCCCAGAGGCCTGAGAGATCCCAGCCAGGCCACAGGCACCTGCAGAAACACGAGCTGGGCAGGCTCAGGGCCCCGTGTCACTCTCTTTCCCCTACCCGTGCTCCACGTGGGGCCTCACCTTCCAGGTGCTTGACGATGCCCCGCAGGCTGTTCCCGTGAGCGGCAATGAGCACCCTTTTGCCGGCCTTGATCTGGGGGATGATCTCCTCGTTCCAGAAGGGCAGGGCCCGGGCGATGGTGTCCTTGAGGCTCTCACAGGTGGGCAGCTCCCAAGGCTTCAGGCCTGCATACCGGCGCTCCTGGGGTGTGCAGAGCACAACTCACATCCCGGCCGTCGGCCCCCCACCCGCCGCCCCTCCCCAAGGCCCCTGACCCCGGGCCTGCCCTCGGCGCCCCGAGCGGCTGACCTTGCTGATGACGTTGTAGTAGGGGTGCTTCTCGTCCATGGGGGGCGGCGGGATGTCGAAGGAGCGCCTCCAGATCTTCACCTGCTCCTCGCCGTGCTTGGCGGCCGTCTCCGCCTTGTTGAGGCCCGTCAGGCCGCCGTAGTGCCGCTCGTTGAGGCGCCAGGTGCGCACCACGGGCAGCCACATCTGGTCAGTACCCTCCAGGATGAACCAGAGCGTGCGGATGGCCCGTTTCAGCACGGACGTGTAGCAGATGTCGAACTCCATCTGGGCGTCCTTGATGGCCTGGGCGCCCCGCCGGGCCTCCTCGGCTCCCTTCTCACTCAGCTCCGCGTCGAACCAGCCGCAGAAGCGGTTCTCCTGGTTCCAGGTGCTCTCACCGTGCCGGACCATCACCAGGCGGTGGGCGGACATGGCTGCGGAGCTGGGGACTGTGGCAAGCTCCCGAGGAGGACGGCTGCCTCTGCCCCGGCACCGGCTTTATAACAGTCCCTCCCCACCCCCGCCCGGCCAACTGCCAGTCTGCATTCCAGGCCGACAGGCAGCCGCAGGTGGCCAGCAGCAAACTCCCCAGCTCTCAGGGGAGGGTGGGCCAAGATGGACTTAAAATAGTCCCACAGCCACCAGTCCCCGTATGTCTAGAGCCCGGGGAGGAGGGGCCCGCGGGGAAGGCTGCTGGGCAGGGCTAGGAGTGGAGGACCGAAGCCCTAGCCTGGACCAGCCTGAGGGGTGGACGCAGCAGAAACAAAGCTCCCCAAGGAGAGCTCCCACGTTGGCGCTCCAGCCCCCGTCAACTCCTCCCGCCGAGGACACAAGCACAGTCTCCCCTTGCCCCCCGCGCTTTCTCCTGTCCCTGAGCGCAGCTGGGCACCCACCAGGAAGCACCTGGAGCCAAGGGGGCTGAGCAGGTGTGTGGACGGTGCATACGTGCATGTGTGCTGCACACATATCTGTGCTGCTTGTACCTGCATGTGCGCATGGGCCTCTGTGTGAATGTGCATGTGTGTGGACTGTGTTGTTTAAGCCCGAACTTTCCATATCGTCTGTCTGTTGTGGAGAGGGGGTTCTGAAGGGCTGCTGGTCCGCACCCGTCCTTTCTCCTTCAGGTCTGGTAACGTGTGCTCATCTGTGTCGGCGCTCCTGTGTGTATTTTCTCCTGCTGGATTGGCCCGTTTATTACATAACAACCTCTCTGTCCCCTTAGAGACGTTGAATAAAGCCGGTTTTGTCTGATGTAGGTCTAGTCCTGCTTCCTCTTGGTTCCATTTGCATGCAGTATAGTTTCCCATCCCTTCACTTTCTCAGTGTGTCCTTATAGCTGAAGTGAGTCTCTCACAGGGAGCACACAGGTGGGACTTGTTTTTATAATCCATTCAGCTACTCTACCATAGATATATACTTTTATTGATTTCAGGGAGGGAGGAAGAGGGAGATAGAAACATCAATGATGAGAATCATTGGTCGGCTGCCTCCTCAAGCCCCACACTGGGGATCAAGCCTGCAGCATTTGTCCTGAACCAGGAATCAAACCTTGACCTCCTGGATCATCGGTCAATGGTCAACCGCAGAGCCATGTTGTTCAAGAGACAGTAGGTGGGTCAGAGCAACTGATGTTGCTCATCTTTTGATTAGAGAATTTAGTCCATTTACACTTGAGGTAATTATTGACAGGTGTGAACTGTTGCTATCTTATTAATTTTTCAGCTGCGTTATGATCTATGGGCCACGTGGTGCCTACAGTCCACGGCTGACGGAACTGGCACGTGAGGCCACCCCGGTCCTAACAGTGACAGACTGAATGGGGACACGCCAGTCCTAACTGTGAAATCAGGACACGCAGGCAGGAAAGGTAAGGAAAGGCACCCATGTTGGAAAGGGAGAAGCAGAGAACTCTGTCCCGGAGGCATGGCCCATAGGAATCCTCAGGAATCCTCCAAAAGGTGACTCTTTTAGAGGATAAAAAGCTCAAGGTCCCACGATACAACAATCAACCGCATGTCTACACACTAGTGAACAAAATTAATAAAATCCCACTTAAATGACATCAAAAGAATAAAATACTTAGAATAAATTTAATAATTTATTAAAGTTTATAAAATTTTAATACAAATTTATTCTGAAAACGTTAAAGCATCACTAAAAACTAAGGGAGATCCAAATAAAAAGAGAGGCACTTGTGTTTATGGATTGGAAGGCAGCACTGTTACCAAGGCAACACTCTCCAGATGCCCAACTCACCCTTCAGAACCCGGGGGTCACACGGCCATAGGACCCCCCTCACCCACAGCGGGTGGTGAGGCGCCCCGGCCCCCTCCCCCCCTGCACAGCAGCACTTTCAGAAAACGGCCTGGTCTGCTCTGTGTTCTCACTTCACTGCTTCCTGCGCAGGGTGCATGGGGAGTGGGGGTGCACAAGGGCTCCCCCAGGAGGGTGAGGGTTGCAGCGACCTCTCCGGCCTGCAGATGGTCAGTGTCCAAGGCATCCACGGTCAGGCTGGCTGAGCAGCCCCCCATCCGCGAAGTGGCAAGGGCTGCTGCGGAGCAGATCAGGCGTTTCTCTGCTCTGGGGGAAGGTACGTCAGGCCCAGGTGTTTGAAGACATCCTCCTCGGCAGCCGCTTGGAAAAAGGTCTCCTGCAACAGAGTGTGGGCCTCGGTGCTGGGCCCTCCACCACGCAGCTGCCCCTGGGACCCTTCTTGTCGGGCCCGGCCCCCCTGCTTTCTGCCCCGGCCACACACCTGCTCTGGGTCAAACAGTCCCTGGCTGTTCAGCCACAGACCCCGCTCCTTCCGACTGAATCGGCGAAGCTCCCGCTCAAAGTGCTGGGAGGGTTGGGGGAGGAGAGCGTCAGCAGGGCCACAGCCCTGACCTCCCCCGCCCCCCCCCCCACGCACAGCCTACCTTGGAGCCCGTCCAGCCCAGCAGGGCAAAGGGAAACTGGCTGATGGGGGTGACCACCAGGTCCACTCGCACAGCCTTCCAGGAGGGGTGGGGACTCGGGGTGCCCCCCTCGGTGGTCCCTGGGGGCCTCGGCAGACGGAAGATGCAGAAGCTCCGCTCAAAGGTGTCCATGGAGCAGCCCTTTGGGGCTTGGCGGACAGGGTCTCCACTGGGGCGGCGCTGATGCTGCTGATACAGGATGAGGCCCTTGGCGGGGGGAGGGGGGGGGGGCAGGAGTGACCCGCTGTCCAGGTGGCAGGAAGGGGGCCCAGCCGCTCCCTGGGGGGCAGGACACTCTCACCTGCTGCTCCAAGTAGCCCATCACCCTGGGCAGCAGCCCCGCCTCCTGGCCCTCCTCAGGGTGGGTGATGAGGAAGTCCACGTCATGGCCCTGCAGCTTCCCCCTGAGGGTCGGGTCTCATGTCCAGCAGCCCAGGGACAGGGCGGCCCAGCTCCCGCGAGACCCTGGGCGTGGGAAGTCCCACCGCAGGCCCCGAGGGGCCCAGCCTCAGGCACACGGCCTTACCTCCGGAAGCCTCCAGCCAGCGTGACGGTGGCCCGAGGAAGGGCCCGCCCCACAGCCTCTGCCACCACCTGCCGCAGGGCCTCGGCGTCCGGCCGCTGGACAGGGGTGCTCAGGTCCTGGTAGTGCTGGAGGCCTGGGGGCACGGGCGCTGCTCTGACCCCCTACCGCCTCTCTACCCTCCTCCCCACCACCCTCCTCCCTGTCAAACAGAAAGCTTCCTTTGAGAGGTGACTGTATATATTCAGGGCAGCTGAAAGAAACCTGAGTCCCCTGGCCCCTCCCGGCTCCCAACCCCAGATCCTACGCTGCAGTGTGCTCAGGTGCTGCATCTATGAGGTGGGCCGAGCTGATAAGAATCACAAGGAAGACGCTCCATCTCTGAGGAGCAAGCACCATCTCATCCGTGCCCCCACGAACCTCTGCTCTGACCCTACCACAGCCTCGGCACTCAGGGTGGGAAGCTTCAGGCCCAAGTGGGGAGCTGGGGGGGCGCGGGGCAGTCACCTGCTTTCTGCTGCTGTGTCAGCCTCTGCACCTGTGTCCAGACATCGTCCAGCGTCCGCAGTCCTTCCCGGTACCACTGGTCAGCAGTCCGCACTCCGACCCCGAAGATCTGGGTGAAGAGCTGTTGGAGGGTAAGGCAGCCCCATCAGGCCTGGGTCTCCTCCCAGCCCGGACCCCTCCGGGAGAGGTCTCGCCCAGAACCAGAACCAGCACCGGCACTGGCATCAGCCCCCTGGTGGCGGCTGAAACCCATCACTGGGTTCTTCTCCTTCAACAGCCCAAACACAAGGCCACGGAAGGCAGGGGTTGGGGGACGCAGACCTGGCCCAGCCAGCGGTCAGCACAGAATCCAGGCAGCAGGAATGACCCTACCGCAGCCGACCTTGCCCTGACCCCTGACCCCGGCCCAAGCAAGTCACCTGTCTCTTACAGCTGCTGGCTGGGTAGGCACTGCCACTCAGAACCCCTCCGGGCATTTCTGGATCTAACCCAGGTCAGGCCCTCAGTGGTGGAGCTGTACCGTGGGCGGGAGCGCCAGCCCTTGAGGCTGTGCGGACCATCCTCTCCTGATCCCCTAACCAAGGGCTTGCTTGCATACAATGGCTCACGGTCACAACAGAAACCTCACACAAAACGCTGAGAATAACCTAATCACATTGTTTATAAAAATAACCAATGGTTAGCATGCTTCCCTGCGGGCTCAATGCACCCTGGGATGCCCACAGGGAGGCAGATGGCTGTCCTCTGTCCACGCGTCCCCACTCACTAGCTCCTACCTGAGCCCCTCCATCCTTCACACATGCCCCCCTCCTCAAAGCCCCACTGGATCCTCATAGCATCTGGGCAACCCCAGGGCAGCGATGACCCCACCTGTCAGGAAGCCCACTGCCCACAGTGGCCCATCTGACAACCTCAGCCACAAGAGAGGGCGTCCACGCAGCAGGAGGGACGTGGCAGCTCCACCACAGACCAGAGGTGAGGGGCAAGGGCAGGTGCACCGTGGACCAGGGGACACACCGGGAAACGCAAGTGTGAGCTCAGGACAGACAGCTCAAAACAAGCTTCTCCCTCGGTCTGTTTGGCTGCCTCATGCGAGTCAGACATCAGCTGCCACTTCCTCAGAGGCCCCTTCTGACCTGGGTGGGAGCAGGGTATGCCTCTGGTGTACCTTCATGCTCTGGTACCGCTCTGAACGCTGAACTCGCTCCACCTCCTCACACACGCCGTGTTCCAGCAGCTCCTGTGGCCGAGACAAAGCAAAGCACGGCCTGACCACCAGGCAGACAGCATGCTTAGCAGCGGGCCCTGCAGGTCGGGATCTGAGGGACTTGCAAACGAAGGCTGTGCCTCGGAGCTGCTCCCTCGGATAAGTCGCAGTGGATGGAGATAAATTACCTTTAACACATGAGTGATGAGTTCAATGCCACTTCATTTAAAAACTGAATTCAAAAGCAGCTCTTGCCATGTCCACTCGTGGTGACGTGCACAAAGGCACGGCTTTCCTCAAACACTCTGCCTTTAGAGAGGGGTTCCCACTCTAGCTGCTCTGCCACGTCCCGGACAGCACAGACCGATGCCAGCAGTGCCCAGACGGCCTGCAGCCGCCCTGCCAGGTGCTGTGGCCCTCATTCCCGAGGTGTCTGGGTGGAGGGGGGCATCCCAGGTGGAGCCTGCGGCTCCTCCCCAGCTGGGCTGCACACAGAGCCAGACACTGTCCCCAGGCTCCCCTACCTCCCTTGCTAAGTGCGCTGAGCACCTACCTGGACGACCCTGCAGGAATGCTCTCCGAGATGGGGCAGGCCCTGCAGCTGGCTCAGGGTTGTGACGGGGCAGGGCAGTGCCTTGAGCGTGGAGGCTGCTCTGCAAAAGGAGAGGAGGCGGCCCTCGCTGCCATCAAAGCCCGCAGCTTCTGCCAGCACCTCCAGCGCCTCCTGCAAGGAGGGGCCCTGCGTGAAGGCAGGGCTGGTGGGGAGCCTCACCCATCCCTCCAGCCTCAACGCCCCTGTCCTCGAGGCTGGGACAGAGTGGGGCGTGCTCACAGGAGCAGGTCCGGCCTCAGCTCAGGGAGGCAGGGAACCCCCGGCTTACCGAGAGGTGGGTGTTGTGGTGTGTGAGGGGCGTGGGACGCTGGCAGGCATAGAGTGGCATCCACATTGGGTTTGGCAGCACCTCCCTCGGCACAGCCACCTGGGGACGAGCAATGAACAGGCCATGTGGAAGCATCAGGAATGGTAGCCACCCGGGCTCTCAGGTTCACAGGACAGGAGCCCCCTCTGAGGGGATGAAACTACTGGGGGCTCCAAACAAGTGGGCCCCAAAAGAAGCTGAGAGCAGAAGGCGGGATGGCCTGTCATGGCGATCTGGGCAGAGCCCTCGCTGAGCTTGTCCAGCTGAGCTCCCACCTGCTGGGCCTGCTAATCCTCCACCCAGCTCACCTGCAGGCAGTGCCGGCGCTCCACCGGGACCGGCTGCCCAGCTGCCATGCTCTCTGTGAACCAGCTGATGTCCAGCAGGGCTGGGCGGGTGCAACCTGGGGGAGGGGCCGGCCTGCTGTCCTGCCAGCGGACGGCCTCCTCGGCTGAGGTCTGCTCCATCACCACATGAGTCACCTCGGAGCTGGGCAGAGGGAAAGAAGCAGGCCTGCCACCTCCCTGCTTCACGCCAAGCCTGCAAGTCTTTACTCAGCCAGGGGAGCACTAGTCTTTCTTCAAAGGGCCCCGCCCCCAGCAGCCGGCCCCGCCCCCAGCAGCCGGCCCCGCCCCAGGCGGGCGCCCCGCGGCAGACACGCACCTGTAGGCGTCCAGCACGCGGAAGCCCTTGGACAGCGCCAGGCGCGTGAGGAAGGCCCGGCGGCTGCGGCCCATGCGCGGTTCCGCCAAGTAGATGGCGACGCTGGGGAAGCGCACGGCGGAGGAGACGGCGCAGGGGGTTCCGACCCGCGCCTGCCGCCGTCTCGGTTGCATCGGGCCTGGGCCTCGGGGGCGCGGTGGAAGGCAGCGGGCAGCGGGCAGCGGGCAGGCGGCGGGGAGGAAGGAAGGCGGTCGGAACCCACTGGAAGGGGAAGCCGCGCGGGCCTCCACGCCGGGCCGGCTCGGCCTATGCAAATGAAGGCTCGGTGGGGCGCCAGAGGCCCCGCCTGCGTTCAAATAGCACCGGAGGCCCCGCCTGTATGCAAATACGACGTAGGTCACGCCTCTATGCAAATAGAACCAGGGGCACGCCTCTATGCAAATCAAATATGACGTAGGTCACGCCTTTATGCAAATAGCACCAGGGGACACGCCTGTGAGGGGCGGGGCGGGGCCGGTGACCGCGGGCACCCGGCGGCCGGCGCGGGTCTGGGGATGCGCAGCGGAGCCTGGGGGTTCAGTGGAAGGGCGTCGGGACCACTGGCAGGCCATCTGGAGGAATGGAAGTCGGGGCCCTCCCTCACTAACACCAGAATAAAATCCAGATGGAGCAAAGAAAGAACATTCTGGAAAGGGGATGAATGTTTTCATTATCTAAGTGTCACAATAAACCTGAATCACTGAAAGGAAAGGATACAAATTTAAAATTTAAAAGTAACCCAGAGGAAAGTGTCTGACACATTTAAAGTTAAGTATAACTCATGTAATTATGAAGTTGTCCACAGATAAATAAGGAACAATGATCTACTAGAAAAGTTGGCGAGAGCAGCAGTTGGTAGGTCACAGAAGAAATGGTGCTCCGTCGCCTGAGCTGCCCATCACTGAGAAGTGCGCACACAGGTGAGACAGGTCCGCCTGCCGCATTGCCACGCGTGTGTAAAGAGTTAGTCACACATGTTGACAATGTGAGGGAACTGGCAATTTGTAGGAAGGTCTTTTGGAAACCAATTCGGCAAACATTTCCAATTTAAAAAATCACAGCCAGCAATTGGAAGAAGACTGGGATTTTGCGGAATCTACGAATCGGGTTGGGAAAGCTGGCGTTGTGGAAACACTGAGCGTTCCTGTGTGCACTGCGTTCTGGAGTCTCTTGGTCAGAGCAGTATAGCAGACTAGGTGGGACAGGCCAGGTGGGGCCGGTCTCAGCCTTCTCCTCCATCAACTCACATGCAGTGGGCATGGGGCTGAGGGAAGCAGGTGCCTCAGCCCAGGGCTCAGCCTGCCACACTGGCTCCCAGCCTGCCCTCCTGAGCCCCCAAACACACGTCCAGAAGACTCTGTAAAGGGTGGGAGCCTTGGTCCCCACCAGTGGGTTCCACCTCTCCTCAGAGAGCAGCCTCTATCCCTGAGACCATTTCCTTTTCTTCTGATGTCCGCTGTCTCTAGCCAGGGCTCCTGGGTTCTGTCCTGGGGGCAGAGGCAGCTTTTAATGACCCATCACAGGTGAGTATTTAAAACACTGAGCAACTTGCACAACTGAGGAACACAGGGCTCCCTCAGGTGCTGTGAGGTTTTGTGAGGGCGAGGAGAGCCTCAGTGCCCACTGCGTGGAGGCCTGGCACCAGCGGGCAAGGTCATGGGTGGCATGCTCCTCTCCCTGGACCACCAGGCCACTGACCAGCCAGATAGGAAGCAAAGACCCTATTTCCAAAAACCGGGCTTGGGATTCCCAAAGGCCTATGTCTCCAGCCTTCTGCTCCCCGCACCAAGACCACCCCAAAAAAGTCAGAGAAGGTGCCCAGATGAGCTCCTGGCTGGCCCTTCCTGCTGCCCTGAGGGTTGCCATCCCCTCCCTGTCCCATGCTGTGCTGTCTCATCCTGTGCTTTGGGTTAATTTTACCCAGATGTGTGAGCTCGTATTTTTCCAAGATGAATTGGATCCAGCTATTTCCTGTTCCCACGTCCAGCTCCTCGTGGTCCCTCATGACCGGTCCTCATGATCTCAGGGCGCACCGTCTTGGAGGTTCACATCAGTGCTGCTGGCACGGCCCTTGGCACGTGGGGCCTGGACTCTGTCCGGGATCTCGGGCCACCCCTCCAGGTTCCTGTCTTCTGTGGCCTGCCCACCAGCAGTGTTCCAGGGACACGTGGTCAGACTGCTGATGCTGCTGGATAGAGCTGCTGAGGGCCGCTGGCCCCGCATGCTGGCCTCTGTGCTGGCCCCGTGCTGGCCCGTGCCTTCCTGAGCTGTCCCCACTCCCTGAGGGTTGGATTACCGGGTATGTCAGTCAGCTCGGCTGACATAACAAAACACCACGAACCAGTGGCTTAAACAACAAACTCGTGTCCGGTCGTTTTGGAAACTGGAAGTCTGTGATCAGGTGCTGGTGAGGCAGTTCCCCTCGGAAGCCTCCTCTCTTGGCTGGTAGGTGGCCACCTGCTCTCGCACGGCCTCTATGCAGCGTGGAGACCGACAGAAAGATTCTCCTCTTCTAAGGCCACCAGTCCTATCGAACGAGGCCCCCACCCTATGGCCTCCTGTAACCTATCGGCCCCTAGAGCCCCACCTCCAGACCGAGTCACATTGAGGTCAAGGTCCAACAGAGGAATTTGGGGGCACCCAGTTCAGTCCACGGTACCTGGTGTATCTGTGTCCCATGGTGCTATCCAAATTAGCACAAACAAGCCGCTTAAAACAACCGACATTTATTCTCTCCCAGGTCTGGCGGCCAGAGTCTAAGGTTAAAGTGTTGAAAGGAGTTAGGGGGGGCCTTCCTGCTCCTTCTAGCTTCCAGTGGCCCCTGCTGTTCCTGGGCTGTGGCCGTGCCCTCAATCTCTGCCCCACTTCTAATTGCTGCCTTCACGCTGCCTTCTCCATTTCTTCTTTAAAAAAATGTCCCCTTTATTGATTTTTAGATAGAGAGGATGGAAGAGGGATAGAGAGAAACATTCATAAGAGAAAATCTGCCTCCTGCCCAACTCCACTGGGGATGGAGCCCGCAACTCGGGCATATGCCCTGACCAGAAATCAAACCATGAGCTCCTGATTCATAGGTCAATGCTCAACCCCTTAGCCACACTGGCCGGGCCCTTCTCATTTCTTATAAAGGTACCAGTCATTTGATTTAGGTCCTACCCTAATTCAGAATGGCCTCATCTTGAAATTCTTAATTATGTGTGCAAAGCTCTTTATTCCAAATAAGACCAAATTTGAGGGTCCACATGAACATGAACTCTGGAGGCCACCATTCACCCTGCTGTCCTGACCCCGGTGCACCTCTGGCCTCTGTGACAGACTCCCAATGTCTGTAAGCAAGTGCAGGTGCACATAACGAGGTCAGTGCTCTGCCAGGCACTGTGCTAGGCCCTCCCCCAGCTCCAGGGAGCTCACCAGTGCCCAGCCCGTCGCTGTCAATGGCTGACGTCCATGTTCCATTGTGCAGAGAGGATGCAGACACAGAGGCCTAGCCGCTGGCCTGCGTTTCGCACAGCTGGTGCACAGCAGAGTGGGGTTTTGTCCTGAGCAGCACGGCTGAGCTCTCCACTCGACACAGCACTCCTGACGCCATGTGCAGGCTTTGCACACGAGCACCTCCGTGACACCAGCCGAGTGATGATAGGGAGGAGCCAGTGGGGCTTCAGAGAGGGTATAATTAAGATGAACACTGTGACAGAAAATGTTGTGATTCTGAATATCTGGAGTAAAATTAGTATAGTGCCCTCTAATTTCTTTTCTGGGGTTCTTTGTCCAGGTGGAATTGACTAGCAATAACTACAAGTGGCAACAATCAAGTGGATAGTAGAGTAGTGGAAAGGGTAGAGAGTCGGGAAAGAATATTGTTGTTAGGTCCTACAGTTCAACTTAGTCACCGCGTGCGCGTGCGCGCGCACGCACGCGCACACACACACACACACACACACACACACTTAGATGCCAACCTTGTGTCCAGGTTGGCACCTGTGCTTCTGGCCAACCAGCTATAAATTGGTCAGTCAGAAGCACAGATGAATTGGATAATTTTTTAGAATGGGCTCACAGATTAACACTTTATCTGCTAGATTACCAGTTTATTACCTAGGACGCAAGAAAACCGTCAGGTGAAGAGGTGACAGGGTGAGACCTAGCAGGGTCCTGAGCCCAGAGGTGGCTGTGCCTCCCTTACACAGACGGGTGACAACTCAAAGCTCCACAGCCTCCCTCCCTGGGGGGCAGGGCTGAAGGTTCCAGGCTTCTCTTCCTGGCCTGGTCTTCGTGGCAAACAGCCCCATCCAGGGACCCACCCAGATGCCTCTCATCAGGACAAAGCTCACTCCTTTCACCCAGGGAAGTCCCAGGGGTTTCAGGAGTTCCGTGCCGGGAACTGGGGCAGAGACAGGTGTGCATATTTATTATTATCTCACAGATATGGCCCGGTGCTCCTGGCTCCACCACAGACCTCCCGAAACACCTGGCCGGGCCTCTGACAAACTGTTACCCGTTCTCTCTGGGAAGTGGGGTGGTCTGAAATGTGGTATAACTCATCACAAGCATTTATTATAATAGAACTTATCAGAAATTTATTACTTTGCCTTTCTCTGTTTTCTGATGTTCCTACAATGAGCACACATCAATTGTATGACAAAGAACTTTGACATAAGAAGGTGTCCAGAAGCTTTAGCCAGGAGGGGTGCCAGCCAGGGTGGGGGTGGGAGCAGAGCGGGCACTGGGGCTTTGCGGTCTCCAGCCCTGTCTCTGATGACAGAATCCCAGTACCAGAAGCAAGGTGCTGGACCACCCCGTGTCCAGTCTGGCAGGCAGGAGCCATGCACAGTATGACCATGTGGCCTTGCAAGTCCCGCTGCACCAGCTCCTGTGGAAAGTGGCATCTGAAATGACACCGAGCGGCCAGCAGGGGGTGCTCTCGGTCCTAGTGGCTTTCAGCCTTCAGAGAACAGTCCATCAGTTTCCTCTCCATGCCTGGCCATCGGGCCCCATGTTCTCTGTTGTTCCTGAATAAACCAGTTTTGCTGGAGAAGTATTTGTTTAGGTTAACAGTGTCATCAGGCATCACCTCACATCTGGTCTGTCACCAAACCTGGTGGGCGGACTTACTGCACCACTCCCCACACACTCA